AAGGCAAACGCCCTACCTGCTGTGCTATTGCTCCAGCCCCACCACTTTTCAAGTTTCTGTGCTAGCATATGCGCTCATGGCAAGGGGTCTGGTGCAGAGCACTCTCCTTTCAGCCCGGGGCTCACTCACATTCTGTTGCCACAAGCCTGGCTGTGGTGAGATCTCAGCGATCCCAGTTTGTTGCAGCACTGAGAATCCATAACGATAGATCACTTGAGACCGACAGGATCAAGTTCTGTGGCAATGGGGCCTTGCGGTCCTCTGTTTATCAGGCAGGTGCTTCTTCCACGGAGTCATTCCCCAGGCTTTGATATTTACAGTGCAATTAAGAGATTAACATAAACAGGTAAGCGTATTAGATATTGGGGAGATCAGGCCATGTTCCTGATTATCTCAGACTAGTAAAGGGACCGAGGGACTGATCCAGATGGAAGTCAAGTGCCGCTGGCTAGGCTACATTACATAGCAGACCCAAGAGACTAGCAGAGGAAGGCAATTGACACAAATGAGACCCCAAGAACCAACATGCCAGCTAATTGTTTTTCTCTTTGTAATGAACTTATAATTGTAGGTTTCCACAATATTTTGGGTGGAGAGGAATGAACTAAACTGGCTAAGAAAGATCTGGAAGTGATGAAATGAGATGGAACATGATCTTATAAACATGATTTATTTATATGCTTATTTTTGAAACCTTCTTACTTAGAGATCATTGTAGATGCACATGAAATTCTAGGAAATAATGCAAAAGGTCTCATTTACTCTTTGCCCAGTTTTCCCCAATGGTAATATTTTTGTATATAATTCAATAACTATAATTCAAGGTCGCACACCCAGTATATTAGTAATGTGGAGTCCACCAGTCAGTTTTACATTTGCAGACACACATGTGCAATTTTACCACATGTGCAAATTTGTATGACAACTATCCCAAAAAAGATGCAGAGAGTTCCATTGGAAGAATTCTTCTTAATATGTACACTTTTAACAGTATTTTCACTATAGCCTTGAAGAATGCCATAGGATTATTGATAAAGCTTGCATTGAATCTGTATAACCCTTATGGTAGCATGTTGTTTTTTTTAAACGTTTAATTTTTCTAAATATGTACATCTTGAATCTCACCCTCTTCCTTTCCTTTCTTGTTGTTACTATTATTGGTGCTGTGATGACGAAATGTTGCATAGTTCCTGACTGTGATATCTGCACATTTAACTGTGGTACTAATCAGAGTTTGCAACCATCAGGATCCCAGAATTTTGCACTCCTTTAGTTGCTGTGCTCACACACATGTTCACTGGGGATGAGTCTTAGTTGGACCACACAAGTCGTGGTTGTGGTCCCTGCCAGGGGCCACTGCAGCACTCAAACATATGCTCACCAGAAGTTGAACTTATAGCTATGACTCTTCTAAATCTTTGCAGTGATGGCACTCAACATGAGTCACACTACTTTAGGGGGTGCTTACACATACCTGGCTACAGTACTATTGGAAATGGCACATGGCATTAAGGATCAGAGACAGCAGAGCTGCCCGCATCATGCTCAGTGTGTTTGAAACAACTAGGATTTGAACATCTGACCATGTCTTTACAAGGCAGGTACTCGAAACCCTTGCACTGTTCCCCCAGACCCAGATGGTTATTTAATAATGTGAAATTTTCTAATTTAGAATTATGGAATTTTTTCATTTCCTTGTACTTTTTATTTCAACAATGATTTGTTGTCTTGTAATATATGCCTCTCCCACCTTTGTAGACTTCTAAGTAGTTGATTCTTTTTGATGTCATTGTAAATAGGACTATTTTCTTGATATCTTTTCTTCTTTTGTTTGTGTAGGAAAATGCAATAGATTTTTGTACATTAATTTTGTCCCCTTCCACTTCATCATAGTGGTTAATTGTTTATAACAGGGTGGGATTTTTTAAAAATTCTTTAGGGTTTTCCAAGTATATTATGTCATCTGAAAATAATGATAGTTTGATATCTCTTCCAACTTGGATCTTTTCTCCCTTGTCTAATTGCCATGGTGAGAAATTCCAATTCTATGTTGAACAATGTGGTGAGAGTGGATTCCTCTTCTTGTGCCTCATCTTAGAGAAAAAGTTTTCCATTTTATTCTGTCTTCAAATAGGATATTAGCTATAGGTTTGTTGTATGTGGTCCTTACAGTTTTGAAGCGTATTTTTTCTGTTCCCATTTTCTTGTTGTTTTTGGCCCACACCTGGCAATGCTCAGGGGTTACTTCTAGCTCTGTACTCAGGAATTACTACTGGTGGTGCTCAGGGGACCACAGGGGATGCTAGGGATTGAACTAGGTGGGCACTGTGCAAGCAAGTTCCCTACCCACTGTACTATTGCTCCAACCCCTCTATACCCATTTTGTTTAAAATCTTGTCAAAAACCTACTCTACATTTATTGCTACAGTATATGACTATTTTTCTTTTGTTGATAAAACATAGTATATTAATTCTTACATGTGACCCATCCTTTCCTGCTTGGAATGAAGTCCACTTGATTATAATGTACTATTCTTTTAATGCATTATTGAATATTTTTTTTGGTAAGATTTTGTTATTTGGGAGGGCAGCACTTCCCAAAGCGCTTAGAGGCTTATAGGTCACTCCAATGTTGCTGGCCTGGTGGCTTAAGGCCTGGACCTAGAGACGTAGAACTGCTTGGACCCAGAGGTGTTGGGTTACAGTGATGATCACAGGGCCCAAGTGGTGCTAGGGATCAAACTCAGCATCTCACATATACAAAGCATGTACTCCAGCCCTTTGAATTACCTCCAAATCCCACTAAAATTTTATTACAGTTTGTTGTATCTATTTGCATAAACAATTTTGGCCTGTATTCTGGTGTGTGTGTGTGTGTGTGTGTGTGTGTGTGTGTGTGTGTGCATGATATTTTTCTGTCATAGTTTTTGGTGTCAAGGAAATGTTAGCATTAAAGAAACTGGCGGAAACTTTTATATACACACATATAAGTATAAACATATATATATATATCAGAAAAACTTAAGAATGATAGACAACAGACCATCTTTGAAATTTTGGTATGTAAAAATGGTGTTATCATATTTCCTGATAGTGCTAACAGGAGCAAAAGGGGTGGTGAGCACAAGCAAAAGCCAGAGACAGGACTGGGACATTCAGTGAGCATAAATCATTGTTTTTGAAGTTTGTATATCTTCCCTACATAATAGAAAAGTCCAAGCAACAATCTTGTCTTTGTAATGTACACTTAGTGTTTTGACATATTTATTTTATAATTTGGGGTATTTTTTTGGGAGGGTGGCCTACAACCAACAGTACTCAGGATTTGCTCCTGGCTCTTCACTCCGGGATCACTCTTGGCAGTGCTCGGGGATCAAACCCTGGTTAGTTCTGTGTAACGCAAATGTCCTATCCAGTGTACTATCACTTTGGCCCCTATTTACTTTTATTAATGAGGAAACGGAGGCTCAGCAAAGTTAAATCTCTTACCAGGATCACAGTCATTCAAAAGGCCAGGAACTAAAGCAAGTTTTAGTCTCCTTTGAATGCTATATTCCCTCTCTACACCAAGGAACACACTTTTTGCAGTCTTCCTTTCCTGGCTTGATTTTGGGGGCCAACAATCAACAATACATGATTGATTGATGTCTTCCCTCACTACCTATTTTTTCCTCATTCATTTAGGTAAAGAAATATGTTCCTAATGAAAATGACACTAGATGATAGTGCATCAGTCATTCGGCCCTGCTTAAACCACAGAGCCACAATCGCTGTGAAGATGTCTCAATTCAACAAGGAGGCTTCCTCCTCTCATTTTCTTTACTTCCTTTGGCCTTAATATCGTTGGAGCAGAACAAAAATCAATAATTTACCCAGGGAAGAATGTCTAGAACTTTGTTGTGTAATGTGGTAGCTACTAGCCACGTGTGACTCAGGAGCACTTGAGATGTGCTTACTCACACAACGGACCTGTGTTGAGAGTGGCTTTGACCCACACCAAAAAAGGAAAAAAGGGGAGAGGGGGAGTCAGCATTTGAATGCTGGAAACAGCTTGCAATGGTACCTTTTGGGGGTATAGTAAAATGTAATTATTAAAATTCATTCCCTCTCTTTTGGCCTTTTCAACTATGCAGCTTTCAGAAAATCGACTTTCTAGACACAATCAGACAAGAGAGTCTTACTCTACATCTTCATTGAACAGCGCGGGGAGGGGATGATGTATAAGGAGGGTTTCGTGGAAAGGTAGGGCTTTCAGTTTGTTTGGGGAGACCACACTCGGCGATGCTCAGGGATCACACCTGGAGGTGCTCGAGGGACCACAAGGGATGCTGGGGATCGAACCTAGTTCTTTTTTTTTGAACTATGCAAGAGGAATGAAAGAGATGGAAGCAGTAGACTCAACTGGGTGCGATCCCAACCTGGCGCTACTGGAAAAGAACGGGGACGGGACGGGGGGGGGGGGGGTGTTAATTTATTTCGATTCCGTTTTTTGTCCCCGCACCCCATGTGGGGGGAGGGGTGCCGAGCCCCCGCCCCGCCTCCGTGCGCCCCCCGTCCCCTTCCCCCAGCAGCCCGCGGGTCTCGGCGGCGCCGGGTCACTGCACACACCTGCGCGCCCACGGAGGTGCGCGTCCGCGAACCCCGGCGCTGCCAGCCCGCCCCCCGTCCCCGGATTTGGCTTTTCCTGCCCTCAACCGTCAGTCGGGCGCTTCTCCCTCTCCGGACCCCGGCAGCGCCCGCGCCAGCGCCGCGGCGATCGGCCGGCCTCGAGTAAGCGCTTCGGCGGCTCCCCGCGGCCCGGAGGTGGCGGGGAGCCCGAGGCCTGCGCGCCGGACCCCCGCGGCGGGCCAGGGCCGCTCGGCCGCCCGGGGCGCCGGGCCGCTGGGTGGCCCGCGGGGCCTGGGCCGCGCTCGGGCCTCCGGGCCGCGGGGGGCCGCTGTGAGCCGCTGTGAGCCGCGGTGAGCCGCGGGCGCCCCTGGCGCGCCGGAGGCGGGTGGGAGCGTCGGGGCGCGGAGGCCGGCGGCGGGGGGCGGGCGCTCGGCAGCGGCGGCGGCGGCTCCGCGGGTGCTCGGCTGCAGCGGGAGCGCGGGGGAGCCGAGCGGCGGCCCCTCCGCCCTCCTCGTCCCCGTCCCCCATGAGGCCCGAGTGAGCCTGGCGCCGCGCTCCCGCCTGCCCGCGTCTCTCGGCCGAGCGCAGCGGCCGCGGCTCCCCCCGGCGCGGCGGCGGAGGAGCATGTCGGACGGTTTTGATCGGGCCCCAGGTGCTGGTCGGGGCCGGAGCCGGGGCCTGGGCCGCGGAGGGGGCGGGCCGGAGGGCGGCGGTTTCCCGAACGGAGCGGGGCCTGCGGAGCGGCCGCCGCAGCCCAAAGCCCCGGGCTTCCTGCAGCCGCCGCCGCTGCGCCAGCCCCGGACGTCCCCGCCGCCAGGGGCCCAGTGCGAGGCCCCCGCCGGCCCCCCGCGGCCCGCGGCGCTCCCAGGTACGGAGCTGCTCTAGGGGGACCCGGGTCCTCCGGGCCAACGCTTCCCCCCCGCCCCCCAGCCCCGGGCGCGCGCGGGCGACGGCCTCGCCGCCTCCTCCTCCTCCTCCTCCTCTTCCTCCTCCTCCTCCTCTCTCCGCCCGAACCCCGCGTTCCGCGAAAGCGATGCCCGAGGGCCCGGGCCGTTCTCGGGTGGGGGCCGAGCCCGGAACGGGCTTCGGAAGGTGGATGCGGGAATCCTTTGTGCGCCCCGATTGGGGGAGGGGCGGGGTGCGCGCTCTCCGATTTCTGCCAGCCCGGGAGGAAGTCGAATTGCTCTACCCTTCCCCAGCCCCCCCCCAAAGCGGAGCCCCCTTGGGGCGAGTCGCACCTCTTTCTGATCTAGCCCTTCAAAAGAAAGAGACAGAGAAGGAAAAACCACAGCCCCCTTATCCCCCCGAACACACACACTCCCCCCCGAATGTTCCATCTGGAGGCAGGTGCGTTCCAAAGTGAGCTGAAGCCGAGTCCATTGTTCCTTTTTTGCAGGCTTCTCTGTGCCGATCTGGGCGATGGCAACGTTTCGTGATGGTGCTCGTTTCTCTCTTAGGAACCGGCCCTTGTCTGTTGGCTTTCTGAATGGAGTTGTTAATACAAAGGAATGAACGCGTCTAACCTCCTTTCCCCCTCCCCTCCCCCCTTAGAACAACCGCGGCCCCCGAGAGCTCCACCCGGTTCTCAGGATAACTTCCCGAGGCAGAGCCCCGAGTCAGCAATGGCCAAACCCCAGGTGGTCGTAGCTCCGGTGGTGATAATGTCTAAGCTGTCTGCGAACGCCCCTGAGTTTTACCCATCGGGTTATTCATCTAATTATACGGTAAGTGCATTCTCTCTCTCTCTCTCTCTCTCTCTCTCTCTCTCTCTCTCTCTCTCTATCTGTCTCTGTCTCTCTGTCTCTCTGTCTCTCTCTCTATCTTGCTCGCTCTCTCTGTCTCTCTCTCCTACTCCCTCCCCCTACAATTCGCGGTTAAATTTGCTGCAGTTGTGACTGTTACTTTCTATCAGCTACATTATGCAGGTACTTTCGGTGCCTCACGTAGGAACATGAGTTCATTGAGCTCAAGAGGAAGCTCATTGAGCTCAAGGGATTCGTTTTCTGAAATAAGTTTTGTAGTGAATCCATTCAAGGTGTCCGAAGGCAAGCTTGAGAGTAGGCGTTCTTGTCCTTTAGGGTCATTAGGGTATTTCCAACATCTGTGGAGAACACCTGGTGGTTTAGGGCCCCCCTTCCAAAAAAAAAGGGGGGGTGCACTTGAAAATCGGTAAAATCCATCTGTATCCAGATTTGATGGACTGTGAAAGCATGGCTTGGGATAGTTGGTGTTTTTTTTTAGTAATACAGATGAGTCACTGGTAACTTTGAGGGGAATGGAGAGGTGGTTTTGCTGCAGAATAAATGAGACGAGTCTTTTTGAATATTGATAAAGTAGACAGGTAGAGTCTTGTATGTTGAACTGGATTTCTCATTCTAATTATTCTATGCAGCAATGTAGCGTTTTGAGAAGGCAGTTATAGAAGTATAAGGGCATCTTAATTTTTCAGATTCATTTTTGTCAGTAATACAGGAAGTTATTAAGTGGTCACACTTACATAGCAGCAGGAAACCCCCCACACCGGTGGGATATTTAGAGAGGAATTTACTGTGCTTAATTGGCTAAATACAAAGCACTGCAGAGATGTGGGGCAGGAATCATTCTGGGAGAATTCAGTGACGGATAATATGTTGGCATGAGCCTTGTCTTTCCTGTTTTCTCACATGTTACCTTGCTGAACTAGAACACGTGGGATAGTTCCAGTTTCTCAAATTGAACACTCAGATCACTAGAATCCAAATTAAGGGGAGTTTCCTTGACCCTTTGATTCTCCAAGGGTAATCTCTGTTCTTATTTAGCAAGAGTTGAGACTCTGTTGTAAAGGTTCCTTTTTTTCTTTCTTTTTTTTTCTTATGTGGGGAGGGCAGAGTGGGCCGAGCTACATCTGTCAGTACCTAGGGCTTACTCCTGCTTCTGTGCTCAGGGATCCCTTCTGGTGGGGCTCAGGGGACAATAGGGATTGCTGGGGACTCGAACCCTGGTTGTACAGCGTGTGCAAGGCAGGTGTCCTACCCACTGTGTTATTGCTCCAATCCCTTCCAGAGTTTATAATAATGAATTTGTGTAATTGTTACCATAACTTTCAACAACAGAATTAATCCCATGGAATTGGGAGAGGGTTATTTTCATAGCAGTGCGGTATCTTGTGTGAATAAATCCCAGTTCATTTGTCTGTTAACACTGGGGTAGCTTCTACCTTTAGGAGTAGGGCTGCTCTTCCATCCAAGCCTTGGAAGATAGATCTCCTTGTTTATGATTTTACTCGGGGCAGAATTGCTACAAAAGCTAGCTGCCAAATAAGTTTCCCAAACATATTGGCCTGGTATATGCTGAGTGGTATGTGATTTCCATTGCTTTGCTTTCCTTGTCAGCTCTTGTTATTTTCCGTTAAGTTTAGACATTTTGCTTGGATGTGTAGTATTGAGTTGTGATTTTAACTTATAATTATCTGCTAACATAGCACACCTACTAGTCCTATGTGTGTTAGGAAAAGTATGATAGAGCTTTATTTCACATTTATTTTTGGTTTTTTGAGCCATACCCATCTGTGCTTAGTCCAGGCTCTAAGGCTTAGTCCAGGCTCTGCTCAGGGACTTGAGGGACCATGTGTGATACCGGGGATTGAACCCATGTTGACTGTGGGCAAAGCACAGAGTGGCTTTAACCACTGTACTGTCACTCTGGCCCCTATATTTTACATTTTAGGAACTCCAGACTACATTAGGAAAAGTCCTTGGGGCTGGAAAAGGGGATGTATGGAAAATGCACAGCTGGAAAAGCAGTTGATTTGGCTATCAGTCCTGAAAAGTAGAAATGTGGGCAGCTTGGTTCTTGCCAGGAAATGTGCTTAACTCAGAGAAGAAAGGAGCCATTGGAAAGCTGTGAACAGTTAAAAAAAAAATTCTTTTTTGAGATGGGTAGGGTATTTGAACCACACCTAGTGGTACTCTGGGCTACTTTTTGTTTGGTGCTTAGAGGTCTATCCTGGCTGTGCAGGAGAGGGCGGGAGCGGGACCAGGTGGTACTGGGATCAAATCCTAGCCTTCCACATGCACATCCAGCTCTTTGAGCTGTCTTTCCAGCCCTTGCATAAACTCAGGATTTTCTAATAGTGACAAATTAGTCCTCTTTTGCTGTCTCCCTGTTGGCTTGAACTTTTTTATGATAGGGATACAGTTTATCTTTTCACCATTCTGTGCCAATTCTGTTTTTCAGGCAGTTCAGGTGACTCCTGAGCTATAAAATCCTGCTACTCCACATTGAACCTCTGGCACTTTTTGGCCTTCTTGCAGCCCTCTAGTAGATCACTCCCTCCTGTGCTCACACCTAAAATGCAAAGAAGCCTGGGGCTCACATGCAGACTACAGGTGGTTCTTCTTTGGTGCTCAGTGTTCCTTAAAACAGGAGTTTTCAGTTGCCATTTCATGTTTGCAGTGTTTTTGTCCATCCCCCCACCCCCAAAAAGAATCATAAGATCTGGTCATATACTATTGCTTTGTTAGAACAAAATTTGTAAAGGACTGAGGAGAAGCAGTGCCTTCAGATAGGGGTGTGTGAACTTTGATTTGCTTAGCTTGCTTCATTGATTTGAAAATCCACCAGGATTCTCTCAGCATTCAAACTACCCCTGTTTTGTTACATTCTCAAATCTTACTCATTTACTCTTTTACACCCATCTGGGCTCAGTTTTTCTCCAGGCACTTAATAATAGAACAACAAAATTCTTGTTTCCTCCTGTTCGGATAAGATCTTATTATGAGGAAATCATTTTCTACAGCAACCATAATCTAGAAGAGTCTAAACTAGTTACCCCTCACTTATTCAGCTAAAAGTTTAATGCTTCTCATGAGATAGGCACATGGGGAAATAGCAGTGAACAAAATGGGCAAAAATTCCTTTTGGGGCTGGAGAGACAACTTGCTTAGTATGCGGGAGGCCCAGGTTTGAGACCTGGTACCATATGGTCTCCTGAGCACTGTAGGTGTTATTGTAGGTGTCCCCAAACAGCAATAATTCTAGTCTTTATAGACTCTTTGTGAGTCTCCTGGCTAGGTTTCCAGGAATCCCTTCTGTATTCTTTTGGTAAATAAAGGGAACTGTTGCTTGGTACTATGACCATTTGGAGAGAGGACCTCCCAAGGAGTGCCCAGGAGGCCTCTCCTACCCCCCAGACAATTCTTAGCCAACCAGACCCAGTGGTCAGTGCAGGGCTAAGGATGTGATCTGAGATTGTCCAGGCCACCTGAGGTGCTGGGGGCTTGGGGGATCTTGTGCTGGGAGTTGAACCCTGGTCAAGCTCATGTTGGGCATGCACCCTGACTACAGGGCTATCTCCTGGCCCCGGCGTGGCATTCCTAAGCTGCATCTGCCCTCCTGAATGCATTCTTCTTCCTTTTAGCATTTATGGTCTTCTTTACTGTTCTTAACCCTTTTTTATTCTTCCAGTCCTCTTCTAATACCATGCTTTATTACCTGTTGCATCTCCTCAGAAAAACTATTGCGCTTTAAATGTTTCATCACCTTTTACTCTTCGAACTGGAAGTTCCACATAAGAATTCTAAAAGGATTTATTGAGATAAAACCTCTCCTCCCCCAATAACAACCCCCAAACCCAGTTTTTTTCTTTTTCTTTTTTCCTGTGCCTCCCCAGAGGTGTTGAGGGTCTTCAGGGTTACAACAGCAGTGCCCAGAGGGTCATCCACTGGGAATCAAACTTGGCCCTCCAATCCAGCCCTTGGAGCTATCTGCCTGGACTTGCCAGTCATTTCTCAAGACTGTTGCCCTTCAATTACTGCCCAGTTTTCCTTTTGACTTTCAGTAGTGACTCTTCTCAAAGTTAGTGTTGGCACTAGTCTCTGGCACTCATCCCCCTAATTATATTGATACTGTTTTGTGGCATTACTGATGCTCAGGTATATGGCGTGCAGTCCTCTTCCCCTTTAACTTTGCTAACCTCTCTATGATCTGTTTGGTTTAACACATCCTAGAGTGCTAGATGTCAAGGTTCTCTTCAGAAATTCCTCTCATTCTCCTATGAACTGAATAAGATAGTTTTGTTTTAACTTAGTCTTCTTCACGTCCAGAATCACAACCATCGTTTTCTCAGACTTGGCCTGTTCAGTTAAGACTTGATGTTTTGAGCATTTCTCTTTCTTCTCCTTGCTTCTATGGTGGTGCTCTTTTTTTCAGTCTCCCCTAAGACTGCAGTCACAGATTCTTTCTCCTCTGTTTTACCTTCTCCTAGAATCTGTCAGCTACCTACCTGTCCGCTGATAATTCTGAAGTTGTCTTCCTCTGAACTCTATAGATTTATGTTTCTAACTCTAGATTGTTTGCTTCATAAAGATCTCCTTTTCAAGCATCAAAGATGTATCTGAAAATCTCTTTAATTTTTTTATTTTTCAGTTGTTTTAGGGCCATACCCAGATATGCTCAGGGCTTACTCGTGGCTCTGAGCTCAAGGGATCACTCTTGGCAGTACTCAGGGGACCATATGGGGTAGTGGGGATCGAACCCAGGTCAGTGGCATGCAAGGCTAGCAGCATGCAAAACTAGTGCCTTAGCCACTGTACTATAGCGCTTGTCCCAAATCTCTTAGATTTTCATACTCTGTCTAGCTGCTCTGCTAAAATATTACTGGAGTCTGCTGACTTGCTCACCTTTCTCTTCTGCACTCTTGTTTCTCTCCAAAGAAGGTAACTAGGGTAGTCTTTGCTATTCTGAATTTTTGTCTGCTCATTTTTGTTTTATTTCCACTGCTTTGAATTAAGTTCGCATTTCTCTCTCTCTCTTTTTTTTTTCTTTTTGGGTCGCGTGCAAGGCAATATGGCCGACCCGAGTTCGATTCCTCCGCCCCTCTCGGAGAGTCTGGCAAGCTACTGAGAGTATCTCACCTGCACAGCAAAGCCTGGCAAGCTCCCCGTGACATATTCGATATGCCAAACACAGTAACAAGTGTCACAATGGAGAGGTTACTGGGCCCGCTCGAGCAAATCGATGAACAACGGGAGGACCGTGACCGTGATCTTTTTGGGTCACACCCGGCGATGCTCAGGGGTTACTCCTGGCTTTGCACTCAGGAATCACTCCTGGCGGTGCTCGGGGGACCATATGGGATGCTGGGAATCGAACCCGGGTGAGCCGCGTGCAAGGCAAACGCCTTACCCGCTGTGCTATTGCTCCAGCCCCAAGTTCACATTTCTTGACGATTACTCAAAGCACATCCTTTGAAAAGTACATTTTGTAGTGAAAAAATAAAAGACATGTGCTCAGCTTAGATATCATTTGACTCATGGTAAAGATGGACAAAATTTATACTTCTAAAAATGTGGCCTTAGAGTACTAAAGCACACAGATCAAAAGAATATTGAAATCCCTGTTTCGAATACTCTATGGCTCCCCTTTGCTTAAAACAGGTTCTTTTTTTGGGTTTTGGTTTTGTTTGGGGGCCATATCTGGTGGGCTCAGGGCTTACTCCTGGCTGTGGGCTCAGGAATCACTTGTGGTGGTGTTCGGGGGCCATATGGGGTGCTGAAGACTGAACCTGTGGGTTGGCCACGTGCAAGGCAAGTATACTACCTTCTGTACTAACTCTCTGGCCCTTCAAATAAGTTCTTAATCTCATGGAATATAAACTGAGAGGAGGACTTTGTCCATTACATTCATAGCATGATAGGACACTTAGAACTATAGACTTTGGCACTTAGTAGGCACTCAGCACTCTTTTTTTTTTTCCCCCTTTTTGGGTCCACCTGGTGATGTTCAAGGGTTAGTCCTGGCTCTGCACTCAGGAATTATTTCTGGCAGTGTTCAGGGGACCATAATGGGATGCCGGGCATCGAACCTGGGTCAGCCACATACAGAAAATACCCTACCCACTGTACTATCCCTCCAGCCACAATACTCATGTTTTTGTTTTTGTTTTGTTTTGTTTTTTAAGTTTTGGGTTTGACTTTTGGCCATACATACTCAGCAGTGCTCAGGGCTGTATGCTCAGGGGTGATGATTAACTATCAAACCTGGTCCACTGTGTGCAAAGCAAGCACCTTAACTCCTGTACTATCACTCTAGTCCCGTTTTTCTTTCTTTTTTGTTTGTTTGTTTGTTTTGTTTTGAGGAGCCAGCCCAGCAGTGCTCAGGGCTTACTCCTGCCTCTGCATTCAGGATTCACTCCTGGTTGTACTCCATTGACCGAATGGGATACCAGGGGTCAAACCCAGGTCAGCTGCATGCAAAGCTAATTGCCTGCCCACAGTATTATTGCTCTGACCCCTCTAGTTCCTCTCTATGGTGTATTTTAGGCCTTGCCTGATGATGCCCACAGATCACTCCAGGTGACCATGTAATGCTGGGGATCAAACCTGCACCTCCTGCTGAGGAGTATGCACTAGCTCTCTGGCCCAGTGCTCAGTTTCATTGAATCACCAAGTGACTTCTGTTTTGTAGCCTGAGCAAGAAAATTAGTAATGCTTTCTTCAAATTCTTAGGGTAATGTAAGTGAATGTGTGCAAAGCCTTTACCATAATTATCACTTACATGCAAGTGGTGGTTACTAGTTTGTTAAAATATTAGGGGTTTTTTGGTTTTGTTTTGGGGTCACTCCTGTCTCTAAACTCAGGCATCAGTCCTGATGGTGCTTGGGAAACTATGGGATGCCAGGGATCAAACCCCGATCAGCAACTTGCAAGGCAAGCATTCTACTCACTCTATCTTTTCAGCTCCTTTGGGTGTTTTTTTTAACACTTTAGTGCCTTTATGGATAAATGAATACATGAGTATTACTTTTGAAATGTGTTTCAGTGTTCTACAAAATTTATTTGCTGAACACTTTGTGCCTTACATGTAATAGTCACCAGTCTAGGGACATTTATATATTTAACTTAGTCACACGGCTGTGTGATTAATGAATTAGTATTTCATCAACATTACTGCCTTTTTTATGGAGAGTGATTTAACTCAAATTGTTGTATGATCAGACAAATATTTGTCCACTCAGTGAACACTGTAGTGGAGTATATTACAGACACATGGATGATCTTATTTCCAGAGTTCCATTTAGGAAATAGAGTACATGCAATTTGTTATGTTACTTTCACTTCAAAATTTCTAGAAATAAATAAAAATTAGGTATCATGGCCTCTGAAAAGTAGTACTGAAAAGTGGTGCAGAAATTGTTGTAAGCACCACTATTGGAGGAAAAATGGACTTGTTTTGTTTTGCTTTTTGGGTCACACTCAGCGATGCACAGGGGTTACTCCTGGCTTTAAACTCAAGAATTGCTCCTGACAGTGCTCAGGGAACCATATGGGATGCTGGGAATTGAACCTGAACCCAGGTCGGCCGCGTTCAATGCAAACGCCCTACCCACTGTGCTATCGCTCCAGCCCCCAAAATGGACATTTTGACTAAGATTGTGTTTGTCTTCAACAAAGAGCTTCTCTGAATGGAATTTTAATTAGTTAAGTCTATTTTTATGCACGTTAAAGCTTGATGGGGGCTGGAGCTATAATACAGCGGCTAAGACACTTACCTTGCACATGGCAGACCTAAGATCAATCCTCAGCATCCATATGGTTCCCTGAGCACTGAGCACTGCTAGGAATGATTCCTTAGTGTAGAGCCAGGAGTAACCCCTGAGTATCATCAAGTGTCACCACAAAACAAAACAAAGCAGCATGATAAAGGCTTTGAAGTAGTTAGTTCATGTGGTTTCTCATAAGTTTAAATTTCTCATGTTTAACCAGTTCTGTGTTGATGATTCATTTGGATTTTTTGCAATAAACATCTTTGTATGTCAGAGTTGAATTTTGAGCTTTTGTCTTTTTTTGGAGTACAGTAGAGGTAAATATGTTAGACTGTGTGACTAGCTATAATTTGATGCCTTTTGGAGAAAGGTTAATTTCAGGGCTGGAGAGAAAGGACAGCTGGGAAGGGGCTTGTCTCTCCCCAGCACCACTTACTGAGCACTGACAGGTATAGTTCCAAAACAAAGAGATGAATTCCATCAAACAGCATAGTTTATGACACAACTGATAAGTAAACTTTAAAATGCTTCGGGTGGTATTCTAGTCACTGTGAGTGATCTAATTGACAGTTTGGTACATAAAGATAAAACTACAAGAAAGAATGGTATAATGAATCCGTAGTCTTAAACTGTATGTGGCCATTCTGGTGTCTGTATATTGGATCAGTCACCTTCCATTTTGAATTTAATCCTAGGTCTTACTATATCCATAAACAGATGAAAACCTCAATTTTTATATTGAAATGAAATAATGTCTTAAACTAACTCATATAAACCTTTCTATTTTAATCTTTGATTATTGGACAGGGAAGAAGGATAGTTTAGTAGATTTAATTTTATTGAAAAAAAGTTTTATTTGAAGGATTTTTTTTTTAATTAGTGAAACACCATGGGGTACAGTTGTAGACTTACAAATTTTTGTGCTTGCGTTTCAGTTATACAATGATCAAGTAATCATCCCTCCAGCAGTGCCCATTCTCCACCTCCATCAATCCCAGTATCCCTCCCACCACCCCCACTCCCCCATCCCACCCTTCCTCTGTGGCAGGGCACTCCCCTTTGTTCTCTCCCTCCTTTTGGGTGCTGTAGTTTGCAAAGGAGGCATTGGGTGGCAGTCATGTTCAGTCTATAGTCTACTTTCAGCATGCATCTCCCATTCTGGGCGGATCTTCCCAACACCTTTTATTTGGTGCTCCCTTCTCTATCTGAGCTGCCTATACCCCTAGAGTGTGCGGCTGGCCTCCAAGCCATGGAGTGAACCTCATGGTATTTATCACAGCTATTCTTGGGTGTTAGTCTCCTATTTTCTTACTTTATGTTCCCCAGATGAATGCAATATTTCTATGTCTGTCCCTCTCTTTCTGGCTCATTTCGCTTAGCAATATATTCTCCATGTAGTACCACTTGTATGTAATTTGAAGGATCTTTAATGTAATCCTATCTTAAACTAAATTGTCTCATATTTTAACCGGCCACGTGAATTAAAATTTTTCCTTTCTCCTTTATTTTTCCTCTATAGGAATCCTATGAGGATGGTTGTGAGGATTATCCCACTCTATCAGAATATGTTCAGGATTTTTTGAATCATCTTACAGAACAGCCTGGCAGTTTTGAAACTGAAATTGAACAGTTTGCAGAGGCCTTGAATAGCTGGGTTACAACAGATGATGCTTTGCAGGAGCTTGTGGAGCTCATCTATCAGCAGGTAGGTTGGCTGATAGCACAGACTGATCATGTGTGACATCTGCTGAGCCTGAGGTTGCGGGCTGCTCCTGCTCCGTGAGGGAGGCCAGGATCATATTCATGTCTTCAGACTTACTGACTTTTATGATGCATATTACTATATATATATATATATATACATACATACATATATATATATATATATATATATATATAAAGAGTTCTCTAAGTTCCTATGTGTAGTTGGGGATCCAAGGCTAAAACCAGGCAATAAATTCATGTGTGTGACCAATGCTTAGTTAAGTACTTGGGAAATAAATTGAAATTGTGAGGGCTGGAGAGACAGTGTGCAGTGGGTAGGGTGTTTGCTTGCTCACAGCTGACCTGGGTTCTTTCCCCGACACCCAGTATGGTCCACTGAACCTGCCAGGAGTGATCCCTGGAGTGCAGTGCCAGATATAAGTCCTGAGTACGTACCTCTGGTGTTCCCCCCAGCCCCCCCCCAAAAAAAAAGTTGAAATTGGAAATCAAATAAGATAATGTAGAGATTTTTTTAAAAAAAAAAAAACACCTTTTCATTATAAGCTTCTTTAAATCATGTGAAATCTTTAAATTGAAGGATAGCAATAACTTAAGTAGAGGATAGTGTATATGAGGCTCTGAGTTTGATCCTTCTCACCTCCTGAAACACCTGGGATGATTCTATAGGCTTCTGAGTGCTGTGCTGTTGGACTGAGCACAAGAACGTTTCAGCCAAGCATTGGAGTGGTTTCTGGGACTACTGGTGCTGCAGGAAGAGGCCCCTTTTTTTACAAAGAAAAGTTAAACTAAAGGCGAACAGATAGTAATGGGCAGAGTGTAATTCTTGAATTTCAAGATTTTCATGATATTAGCAACATACACATGATACCAGGAAAAACAGTCTTCCCATCATGATTTAGACGCCCAGGGTTCCTTGTGAGTAAAGAAAGAACAAAAAATAAATATAGCTAATAATTACAAAGTACTTATTACATGGCAGGCAGTGCCAGGCACTTAACATGTAATTAGGTCATTCACCTTGATCTCTCAACAAACAGTTAAACTGACTTTCCTAGGTTACTGGTAAGGTGGCCTAAGGGGGATGCTAGGGGCCCTAGGCCATTGTTATCTCTAGACTGGATCAACGACTTTGACCAATTTTTTTTTTCTTTTTTGAGTTACACTGGGCCTTGCACCGGGGTTACTCCTGGCTCATGCACCCAGGAACTACTCCTGGCGGTGCTTGGGGGACCATATGGGATGGTGGGGATTGAAGCTGGGTCGGCCGTGTGCAAGGCAAAAACCCCACCTCCTGTGCTATTGCTCCAGCCCCTGACCGAGTATCTTGAATGGGTTTTGTTTGTTGTTTTCTTATTTGTGCATTGCTTTTTACCTAATATTAGGTAGTGAGATATATTCTCTGCTATTCTTTAAAAACTGAAATAAAAATTAAACTATAAGAGTTTTACTTTGGCTGTGGTATATAATATTTGATAAAGTAGTGGGGTTTTTGTTTTGGGGCTACTCCTGGGGGTGCTCCGAGCTTCCTTCTCTGCACTCAGGAATCGCTCCTGTTGGTTCTCAAGGAGCGATTGATGCAATGCCAGGGATAGATCCTGCATCAGCCATGTGCAAGGGCAACTCCCTACCTGCTGTTCTCTTGCTCTGACCCTTTGATTTCTTCTTTACTCCAAGGATTTCAGGCATTTCTCCAAGTGGTAATCTCATACTATTTCCCATCAATAACTTGCTTAGGAATCAGGAAGCATGTACGGACGTTTACTTCTGTCCAAGGTTGTTCAACAAAGCTTGGGAATCTTGATTTGGACTGCTTGATGCCCAGAGCTGTGCTGTCCTGTGTGTCATCCTTGAGAAATGTCACTGGGTGACTGTTTCTCTAGCTTATCCGTAACTGACACTGTGCAATGGGTAGTTGTATATATTTTGTGGGAAGAAAAAAATGTGCTCAACAGACAGATATTGTCAGTTTTCATTTTGGTAAGCTTTCGGATTAGATGATGAGAATTTGTAAAACTTTTTTCTTTGTACTTTTTCTGACTGTTTTTTTGATTGGGGTTTTTATTTTTTTGTAAGTAGAAGAAAAAATGCTTAACATAGTTACCAGCTAACATTTTTGTATTCAATATGGTTAGTTTGGGAAGGAGAAATATTTTTTCTCTTAGGATATTAAGTGTTTGCATTAATAACTCAATCTGTTTGTCTTATGCATAATTTTTTTCTTTCTGAAAGGCCACATCCATCCCAAATTTCTCTTATATGGGAGCTCGTCTGTGTAATTACCTGTCCCATCATCTCACAATTAGTCCACAGAGTGGCAACTTCCGCCAATTGCTGCTTAAAAGGTCAGTGTGAATTTTTGGAATTAGTGGAAAATTACTTCTAAAGCAATAGAATTTTATTATTTCTCTTTTGAAAGACTATCAGTAGGATAGTATACTAATTGTGCCGGGAATGGGTGGACCATCTTTCCTTATACAATATAAAAATCATAGCTGGGTTTTAATAGGTATTTTTCTTTAAAGGCTTTGGCCATTTCTTTAAAGCCTTTGGATTTGTGCCTTTTCTCAAAACCATGACATTAGAAGTGATCGCTTTTTTTTTTCTCTAAACGCTGTTTACTGCACACAGCTCACACTGCTCCTCTCACTCAGTTCTTATGGTTATTAAAGGCTTCATTTTGGTCTTTAACTTGAGTTCTGATTTGTAAAATCTGAGCACATGCTTTGCAGAAGGAGGCAGGTTCAATCCCAGGCATCACACGTTGTCAGGAAGTAGTCCCCAGCACTTCTAGGAGCAGGCCAGACATCAGAACAAAAATCCCAATCCTAAACCTAATTACACACATGATAATATTTGTAGGGGAGGAACATAAATTTATATGAGGAGCATAAATTTATATGAAGTGAAAATAGAATATGGCAGTGTGCCCACTTTAATGTAAAAAGAGGGACCTCCCCTTGAGCACCGCCAGGAGTAATTCCTGAGTGCAAAGCCAGAAGTAACCCCTGTGCAATGCCGGGTGTGACCCAAAATGTGAAAGAAAAGAAAAAAAATAAAAAGAGGGACCTTTTAGAACTAGGTAAGAAACAAATCACTGTAATAGAAATACTTCAAATAGTTTTGAGGAGGTAACAATTTAGAAAAATACAAATGAAAATTATTAAAATGTATCTGGCTAGCATTGCCTATCATTTTTTAAATGCACATTATATTCTTAAAGAGGGGGAAAGTGGACACTTCCAGGAGGAAGAATTGCAGAAAAGCATCTTCTCTTTCCAAGGACTACTCTACCTTGGCCCTGTATGCCTTATTCAGAGGCTGAAGCCTGCCTGGCTCTTAGAAATAACTGGGCAGTAGTTGTTGGGATCAAATCCAGAGCTCACCCATGCAAGGCACGTGCTCTGCTAAGCTCCAGCCTCAGCTCTAAGCGCTTCCACCCCGTTGCCAAGCTGAAGAGACTATCCTTGTGATTCTTTTTGTTGAACTTCTGTGCCACCCCCAGGGGTATTCAGGGGCTATTCCTGGCTCTGCTTAGGAGTCACCTTTGGTGGTACTCAGTGTTGCCCCAGGAGTAGCTGCCTGCCATACCTTGCCTCCTGTCCTCTCTCTTCAGACCTTAGCTCCATGGATTTTCTTTTTCTTTTTAATGATATGCTGAGATTAATCTCACAATGCACATATGCAAGGCAAGTGCTCTACCATGGAGTTTCATCCCTCCCTGATACAGTTCTTGACTCTGTATTTTTTCCCTCTTTTTAAAATATTTCATTTTTGGAGAGGAACTGAAGCTTACTCCTGGTTCTGTGCCCAGGGCTCACTCCTGCTAGGATTAAATCCAGGTCTACTTTGTGCAAGGCGAGTGCCTTAGCCCTTGTATCGGCCCCTCCTGTGTATATTTCTAGAGCGACCTGATACTGCCAAAGGTAGTAGTGAGGAGGAAGGCTAGTGATGAGTGACATGTTGGGCATAACTCAGTTATAACACATAAGGTATATGCATATTCAGGCTCTGTTCACAGCAACTATCTTTTGGTTTCAGTGAGTTTGTACTATGTATTTTTTTCTGATAACTTTTCCAAAAGAAGCATGTGTTGCTTTTATTTATTTTCTTCTTAAATTTTTTTGAACTTGATTTAAACACTGATTTACAAAGCTGTTCGTCACACTGTTCTCTGAGGTAGTTGGGCATTCAGCCTTCGAACACCAGTTCCACCAGCAGTGTGACCTTTCCTCAACTCACGTTCCCAGTCTCACACCCACCCCCAAGTCTGCTCCTTTGCAGGCACATAGTAGTTTACTTTATATTGCTTGATACAACAAAATGTCAAATGGAATGATCAAAAAATAGTTCTGTAAAAGGAAGTTTGTGAAAATTGTCACCTCTCGCAGTGTTATTAAAACCATAACAGTCTGAGTATTTATCAGACTGTTTGGTGCTAGTTTAGCTTTGAAAATGGAAAAGTTTTGGCTGAGCTGAGGTTCTTTCCATCATCTACAGTTAACCTTGTTGCAGTGAGGGAACCTGTTCACAGGCCATTCCATACTAGCAGCAGCTAGAAGCCCAGTGCCATCCTGTCATGCCCCAGGCCTTACCTCAGGCCTTGCAGGCCTTACACGCCCCACAGGCTGTATGTAAATATGTTAATGTGCAGTTACAGCACTTATAAAACTGCTGTTTTATGTTTCATCCGTCCCTTACCAGCTGCGAATTGCCAACAGACTGCTCTCTTTTTTTTTTTTCTGAAGAGGAATTATTGTGCATGAGATGGTAACAAGTATCTGACTGAAATTAATGTTATTCACTCAATAAAGTGTGTAAACAGTGATTTAAAATAGTCATGCCACAGTATTCTTTTCCTGGGTCTATTGTTGACTCTAACTAAAGGTAAATTCTTGCATGAAGCATTCTTAAGCCATCCTAAACGACCATGTAGAAGCTGTTGAGTCTTTATAACCTGCTCCCTTTGTCACTCACCTGTTGCCCGGTGACCACCCCAGGTCTCTTGTATACATGGCATGTGCTGCTGAGCACATCCCAGATTTAAAAGAAACTTTTTCTTCAAAAGAAAAATTATAATTGATTGTAGCTGGAAATGATCACTTTGGACAGGCACTGAGTGTTGAAAGCAGGTAAAGGAATAAACCTCTCAGTGTCTGCATTGCAAACCCTAATTCCCAAAAGGAAAGGGAGGGGGAGGGAAAAGGAGAGGGAGGTGCCACCATAGAGGTGGGGGGGGGGGCGAGGGGAACTGGGGACATTTGTGGTGGGTGTACACTGGTGAAGGAACCAGTGCTGGAATGTTATATGACTAAAACACAGTTATGAACAGCGTAGTAATTGTATCTCACTTTGATTCAGTTAAAATAAATAAATTTAAATAAAAAATTCATTAATTAACTGGGGCCACAGGGGTAGTTCAGCAGGGAGGGCACTTGCCTAGCCAACGTTTGACCCAGCTTTAATCCCTGGCACCCTGTATGGTTCCCCAAACCCCTCCAGAAGTGATCCCTGAGGACAGAACCAGGAGTAAGCCCTGAGCAATGCCTGCCTTGGATGGACCCAAACTCTGCCCCCCCCCAACTAAAGTTTATGAACCGTAAATGACATTTACTTAATGCTGATAATGACAGATTTGTGATTTTGTTGTAGGAAACATATCAATAAGCTCCTGACAAGTTTTTGGGTGTTCTTAGTTTTTACTGAAATTTTATTTTACTTTAGGTAACATAGTTACAATAGTGTTAACATTCATGGTTTTGATATACAAGGTTACTGATCTAACATAACCACCACCTGAGTACCCATGACCCTGTACTCCTGTCCTTGTGTCAGTTCTAATCCAAGTAGAGGATTTTTCATTTTTTTTTTTTTTGAGGCAGATTGGCCAAGTCAGGGAAAATGTTACTTAATGTCTTTAGTTGCCATTGGAAATGGATCAAAATAGTTGCTTTTATACCCCCCCTCTCTTTCTCCCTCTTTCTCTCTCTTTTCCCCTCCTTCTTCCCCCCCCCCCCCCCTCTCTCTCTGTATTTTTGTTTTGTTTTTTAGTTTGTTTGGGGGCCACACCTATTGGTGCTTGGGACTTACTCCTGACTCTGCAGTCTGGGATCACTTCTGATAGTACTTGGCAAACCGTATAAAGTGCCAGGGATTAAACTGGCAAGTACCCTTCCCATGTACTGTCTCTCTGCCCTCCTTCATTTCTCTTTTTTGTGTAATAGAAATTACAAGAATAATGGACTTATGAATTATGTATTGGGCTGGGGAGATAGGTCGGAAGAGTAGTATGCATGCTGTGCGTGTGTGAGGCCCAGACTGTGAGTCTCTGAACACCACTGGGAGTGACCCTAGAACATAAAGACAGGAGTAGCTCTTAGATTTAGCCTGAAAAAGCAAACAAAAAATTATGTATATATACTCACCTATCCATATAAATGATCTTTTTCAATATTCTTGTATTCAGATAGATCAAAACATTTTACCAAGACAGTTATATGAAAACTTTGTTGCTAAAATGTACGATAGCCTTGATAGGAATGAGTCGAAACTGTATGTCTTAAAACTTGGACTCTATGAGCAGCTGTATATTTGGGTATTTACAGTAGACAGGAATACATCCTGGTCTGAAAAGCTTAGGGTGGTAATGTATTGTGTGTGACTCTGGATTGCTTGTGGACAACTGGATCCACCAGTGACCATCTTGTTTGACTGTTTAATGAAACAAAGATGTAAGATTACAACAGATGTATCTTTGCTAGATGTCGGACTGAATATGAAGTTAAAGACCAAGCTGCAAAAGGGGATGAAGTAACCCGGAAGCGTTTTCATGCATTTGTGCTCTTTTTGGGAGAACTTTATCTTAACCTGGAGGTAAGGAGAGATTTTTCTTAAGTCCTAACAAAACCTGAGAACATAAATGGATCTCACGAAGGGATTTATATTTGCATTTTATTTTATAAAACAGTGAAGTATAATAACTTATATATACTGTAATTGATTTTCTAGACCACTTAAATCTACAGAACACAGTAATTTCTGGTTTCTTAGTTCTTGCTCCAATTGTATATATAAGTATTCCACATAAAATTCACTTTTACTAAACCTACATACAGCACAGATATTTGTAGATGGATCTGTTTGTTGACTACATTGCTGACAAAAGTGCTGAATGTTACTGTATAATGCATTTGCTTGATTTTTCTCAAGCCCAGGTACATAAGTTATACTTCCTTTAATCCTGATTTGAGGACTTAGTATAATAAACACTAATAAAAAAACCTGAATCCACTATCAGATGTACATGTTATCTAGAATATGTTCCTGTGTTTTTGTATTGTTTAATACTGAGTTTGTCAATACTTTATAAGGATCTGTATTATATTTTGGCACAATTGTTTCTATTTTTCTTTTGTCCCAAAAGATCAAGGGAACAAATGGACAGGTTACAAGAGCAGATATTCTTCAGGCTGGTCTTCGGGAGTTGCTGAATGCCCTCTTTTCTAATCCTGTGGATGACAACTTAATCTGTGCAGTAAAATTATTAAAGGTAGGTTTAATTTTATTTTTAAATTTTAACGGTTTCACTATTTAGCATAATTTGGGGGAAGGAGATCACATATTAATGATTTAAAGATAAACTTCAAGTGTATCTACTTAATTTTCTCAGATTTAAGTATTAGAAAATTGCTGTACTTAATAACGATTTAGAAGTGAAAAAGGGATGTGTTACATGTGTAGCATGTATAAGGTGTTTTTTTTTTTTTTTTTTTTTTTTTTTTTTTTGCTTTTTGGGCCACACCCGGCGATAACGGAATACTCCTGACTCTGAACTTTGGAATTACTCCTGGTGGTGCTCGGGGGACCATATGGGATGCTGGGGATCAAACCTGGGTCGGCCGCATGCAAGGCAAACACCCTACCCTCTGTGCTATCGCTCCAGCCCCAAGATTTTATATGTATATATATATTTTCTTTTTTCTTAAATTTTTATTAGTGAAACACCATGAGGTACAGTTGTAGACTTACAAATTTTTGTGCTTGGGTTTCAGTTATACAGTGATCAAACACCCATCCCTCCACCAGTGCCCATTTTCCACCATCACGGGTCCCAGTATCCCTCCCATCTCCCCCATCCCACCCTGCCTCTATGGCAGGGCATTCCCTTTCGTTCTCTCTCCTTTTGGGTGTTGTGGTTTGCGAAAGAGGCATTGTGTGGCAATCATGTTTGGTCTGTAGTCTACTTTCAGCATGCTTCTCCCATCCTAGAAGGATCCTCCCAACACCCTTTATTTGGTGCTCCCTTCTCTAACTGAGCTCCCTTTTCCCCTAGAATGTGTGACTGTCCTTCAAGCCATGGAGCAAAACTCCTGGTACTAATCTCAGCCACTCTCCGGTGTTAGTCTCCTATTTTGTTACTTTATGTTCCCCAGATGAATGCAATCTTTCTATGTCTATCCCTCTCTTTCTGACTCATTTCGATTAACATAATACTTTCCATGTAGTATCACTTGTATGTAAATTTCATGACTTCATCTTTTCTAACAGCTACATAGTACTCCATTGTGTAGATGTACCAAAGTTTCTTTAACCAGTCATCTGTTCTCCGTTACTCAGGTTTCTTCCAGGTTCTGGCTATTGTAAAGAGTGCTGCAATGAACAAACAAGTGCAGATGTCACTTCGACTATACATTTTTGCCTCTCTGGGATATATTCCCAGGAGTGGTATTGCTGGGTCAAATGGGAGCTCAATTTCTAAGTTTTTGAGAATCGTCCATACTGTTTTCCAAAAGGGCTGAACCAGTGGACATCCCCACCAACAGTGAAGGAGGGTCCCTTTCTCACCACATCTGCACCAGCACCGGTTGCTTTTGCTCTTTTGGATGTTGGCCAGTCTCTGAGGTGTGAGATGGTATCTCATTGTGGTTTTGATCTGCATCTCCCTGATGATTAATAATGTAGAGCATTTTCTTATGTGCCTTTAAGCCATTCGGATTTCTTCTTTGAGAAAGTTTCTGTTCATTTTGTCGCCCTATTTTTTGATGGGAGATTTTATATTTTTATACTTTCTTTTTTTCCACTTAATAAATACCATATATCTTTATGTGGCACATATCTTTATCTCTTTCTTTAGTAGCTGCTTAATATTTATTGTGTATATGTATCATTCTCTTAGGTGTCATCAGTTTAGTTTCTGCAGTATTGTCATCTTTCATCTTTTCTTTATGTGTGCAGTTTCTTTGGGTTAACTCTGTAGTTAATTCTGTCTAATAAATTCCAACATGTAGCTTTGATATTGTCAATTTGTGCATATAGTTTTATTAATGCCAAAATTGCCTTTCATGTTTTGTTCATTGCAGCACTGTTTACAATAGCTAAGAATCTGGAAAAAACCTGAGTGCCCGAGAACAGATGACTGGTTAAAGAAACTTTGGTACATCTACACAATGGAGTACTATGCAGCTGTTAGAAAAGATGAAGTCATGAAATTCATATACAAGTGGTACTAATGGAAAATATCATGCTAAGCAAAATGAGTCAGAAAGAGAGGGACAGACATAGAAAGATTGCATTCATCTGGAGAACATGAAGTAACAAAATAGGAGACTAACAGCCAAGAATAGCCGAGATAAGTACCAGGAGGATTACTCCATGACTTTGAGGCCAGCCGCACATGCTAGGGGAGAAGGCAGCTCAGATAGAGAAGGGAGCACCAAATAAAGGGTATTGGAAGGTTCCTCTCATGGTGGGAGATACGTGATGAGAGTAGACTATAGACTGAACATGAATGCCTTTCAGTGTCTCTTTTGCAAACCACAGCACTCAAAAGGGGAGAAAGAACAAAAGGGAATGCCCTGCCACAGATGTAGGGTGGGATGGGGGTATGGAGGGTGGGAGGGATACTGGGATCAGTGGTGGTGGAGATGGGCACTGGTGGAGGGATGGGTATTCGATCATTGTTTAACTGAAACCCAAGCACAAAAATTTGTAAGTCTACAACTGTACCTCATGGTGTTTCACTAATAAAAATTTAAGGGAAAAAAAATTAAAACAGGTAAAAAAACAAAAACAAAATTGCCTTTCAAATGCTGTGTTCCACCAATACGGAATGAGTAGATTTAACAGTGTGATACCTATTTTGCAGAATACACAAATGCCATTAATTTAATACACCTATAGTAATGTGTGTCATTACATTTCAGCCTTGAGGAGAAAACATTGCTGAAAATAATCATACAAGGAGTAGATCACATAGTCACTGACACATAAAGCCTGTGATTAACGTTCTTTCTATTGTGGTTTCTCTCAGCTTAGAAAAATGTAGAGGATATATAGATTGCTGAATATAAAAATACTTGTATAGATTCATCTTTTTCAAATAGTGCTTGAACTGTACTATTCCTTTTAGCTTTTCTGTGTTTTATTGTATTCTTTGTTTTGCTGATTATCTGCCTTTTCAGTTGACAGGATCAGTTTTAGAAGATGCCTGGAATGAAAAGGGAAAGGCTGATATGGGGGAAATTATTCAAAGAATTGAAAATGTTGTCCTAGATGCACATTGCAGCAGGTAGGAAAAGAAATAATGTTAGATAGACAGTAGACTAAATTTCTTACTGTTCTCTGACTCACTTTATTTTGCTTTGGACTCACTACAGGAAAATTTAATTTTTGGACTATCTGGTGATGCTCAGGACCATATGGTCCCAGGGATTGAACCTGAAGTCCTGCAAATGCCTTGCCTGTTATTTTGTTTTTTTTGTTTGCTTGTTTGTTTGTTTTCCCTGCTTTTTTTGGGTCACACCCAGTGATGTGACAGGGGTTACTCCTGACTCATGCACTCAGGAGTTACTCCTGGCAGTGCTCAGGGGACCATATAGGATGCTGGGAATTGAACCCAGGTCAGCCGCATGCAAGGCAAACCATACCCACTGTGCTATCACTCTAGCCAACTGTTTTTTCTTTTAATAGATTATAAAGAAACTTTATTTTTTAAATTTTGTTTCTTTTTTTTTTTTTTTGGTTTTGGGGTCACAACCAGCAATGTTCAAGGATTGCTCCTGTCTCTGCATTCAGGAGTTACTCCTGGCGGTGCTCGGAGAACTGAATCCAGCTTGGCCACATGTAAGGCAAGCACCCTAACCATTGTACTATCACTCCAGCCTCAGTGCTTTGAATGTTTTTAATCTGCTGTATCTGATCAAAATAATTGAAATTTTGGAGGTTGGAGAGGTGTTTGCCATGTACATGCCCAACCCAGGTTTGATCTCTAGCTCCATATATGGTCCCCGGAGCACTGTCATGAGTGATCTCTAAGCTCAGAGCCAGGAATAAGCCCTGAGCACAGCCAAATATAGCCCCAAAACTAAACGGAGAAATGATTCAGACTTTGAACTATTTAATAGATGTTTAGTAAATAAGTTCAATAAAAGGCATAAAAATGCTTGTCTGTTTTGTTTCTTAAGTGAAGCAAGATAGTTTTTATAGAGTGAAATTTACTTAGACATGAGGCAGAGAAAGAGGAAATATGTATTGAAGAGAAAACATGGGTTTGAAGAACAGGCCAGTAGGCAGAGACATAGAGTCAAACAAATGAGATAGGTGCAAGAGAGAACACGGGCAAGCATGTTTGCTCTTGTAGGAAATGACAAATGGCTTACAGAATCTGAGCATTGGATATAAATATTTTGGACGTGTTTTTGTTTGTTTTTTGTTTTGGGCCACACTTGGTGGTGCTCAGGGCTTACTCCTGGCCCTGTGCTCCGGAGACTATATGAGGTGCTGGGGATCAAACCCTAAGTGACCACATGTAGGATCAGTGCCCTACCTGTTGCACAATTGCTTCAGCTATATAAATGTTAAATTTAGAAAATCAGGTGCCAGGAAAATAATACAGGAGTTAAAGCATATACCTTGCATGTTGTCAAACCAGATTGATCCCTGATTCTCTGTGGTTGCCTGAGCATCACCAGGGTGTAATCCTGAAAGTTCCTGAGTACCATAATGGGGCTTGGGTAATTCCTAGCACCACCAGGCTCAAAAGGCCTTCACATTGAACCTTATCAACGCAGTTGGCCACAAATCTAAGAATTGCTGGGTAGAGCCCCTGAACCTCCTAAGTATGACTTCAGGTCTGTTGGACCACCCCATTCCTCCCCCCACAAAAAATAAGGAATAAAATTTTTAAGACTCAGATATTTTAGAACCTGTAAACATTTTCATATATACACTGTAATTGATTTTTTTTTCTACTTTTGTCTGCAGAGATGTGAAACAGATGCTCCTGAAGCTCGTAGAGCTCCGGTCAAGTAATTGGGGTAGAGTTCATGTAACCTCAACTTATAGAGAAGCAACACCTGAAAATGATCCTAATTATTTTATGGTATGCTAGTATTGGCATTTTAAGTTTTTTTTTTTGTTGTTTGCATTCCAGTCTTGAAAATCTAGATCAGGTTCATGAAGTAGTTCTTAGAATTTAGTGTCAAATAACCATTTTACTGGCTTAGGATCACTTGGCAGCCAGAAGGTAGCAGAAGCATGGAATTCTGCTGTGCAAAGGGTAGACTAAAGAAAGATCCGTCCGCTGGCCTGGGAAATGAACAAGGCTTAGACTCTGGTGAGCAGATGGTCTCTTGGAAGCAGCTTTTCCAGATAATTGGTGACTACAGCCTTGCGTCTCAAATTCTCACTTTGCATGTTGTACTGAATTGAAAGAACCAAATTGGTTCACCGTACTGGTTCCCAGTACAGTGATGCCTGGGACGCCGGCATAACCAGGCAGAAAGTAGCTCTGAGGATGCTTCCGTATGACCTCAGGATCAGAAATTCTTAAAGGAAAAGTGGTGGGGAAGTGAAACCGCACTCAAAATGAGCAGATGCTTAACCACAACACGCAGCAGAAAGTGTGACAAACAGTATACAGCAGGCGTAGAATCACAGGAACTTGACATAATTGAATAGGAAATCTGAAACCTAGACTTTAACAATGAAATGAAAGTGGCTGCTAGGAAACTGGTTTTCTTTTCTGCTTGCTCTTGCGTTATCAGGTGCAGACAAGTGACATCAGCCATGCTTCATTAATTAATGTGCCTTTAAACAATTCTGAAATGGTTACATTCTTGTATCACTTTGATTCATCCTAGAATGAACCAACATTTTATACTTCTGATGGTGTTCCTTTCACTGCAGCTGATCCAGGTATGTGGTCTCACAGCCATTCCCTCTGTTCACTTTTATAAGATGGTAATTTACAGAAAACCTTACCTTTACGAGGACAAAGTTATCACTGTTAGAAGAATTTACATTATTCTAAAATACAGGGTAAGGGTTTATCTCGTAGACTGTTCTTTACATTTACCACTTAGACGGAAAGTCTGACTCGGTATTTATGTGTCTTGTCACATTGGCAATGAAAGATTGGAAGAAAACCTCAGTCACTTGGATTTTTAATATTCTGATATTCTGCTTTTGCATTTGAAACTTTATTTTGGTTAGATTGGAAGAAACAGGTGGCTCACTTTATACTCGACAACTTTCATTAATTTGGGTTAATGTTTGCAAGCACGAAGAATCAAGTAGGGCTCGAGCCATAGTACAGTGGGTAGGTGCTTACTTTGCATGCAGCTAACCCGGGTTCAGTCCCTGGCAAGCCATATGGTCCCTAGAGCACTGCCAGGAGTGATCCCTGAATGCAGAGCCAAGAGTAACCCACATCACAGAATGTGTACAAAAACTTAAAAAAGAGTAAATAATTTGTCTTACTTGCGGGTTTTTGTTGGGGTGGGGGTGCAGCACAGCGTGATAATTCTTTGGGCTCATCGTATGCTTTGCATGCTGTATGTTTGCGAAGCAAGTGCTGTGGTATCTCTCCGCCCCATCTTTATCCAGTTATTATACTCTGGAAATTGGAGATGATCATTTGTAACAAGTTTCGCTCTTATGCACTGATCCACTTCATTTGTTATTCAGAGGTGAGCACCATAGCGATATGCTAATCTTGAACTCAGTAACACTGCTGTACACAGTTGGCATATGGAAAGCAGTAATATCAGGTCTATTTTCTTGGAATGGCCCATGCTAGGGAAGATTGATAGAAATGAAACATTTATCAGGCAGCTTCCTTCTAGCTGTCTATGTAGGAGAAAGAAGAAATCCCTTATCTCAGATCCTGGGCCAGGTTAGCCTCATCTGATTAAGAAACAGAGACTAGTGACTTCACCTGCTAACTAGGTAACTTTTATCTCCTTAGGGTGTAATAACGGAAGAGCCGGATGTCAAGATGCTTGATTGAAAAATCCCTCCTTATGGAAGGATAAACAGAATGGAGGGAACATATTTATCCCCAGCAAGTTAAATAGCCAGTGTTTTGTCTATTGAAAAGAAATAAACAAGGGGCACAAAATGTACTCTAGTATATTTTCAAATTTAAAGGTTTATTTTGTATGTATAATTAAAATTTATGAGCAAGCATAGCAGTCAAAGCAAGCCAGTTAGAATGAGTTTTGTCAAAATATTATATACATAATACTTAAGCTTACTACTACTTAAACTACTTAGGAAGCTTACTACTATTTAAACACTGGATTTAATTAAATATTTTAATTAGAAATATAATCACTCATTTGATGAGGGTATTACCATCATTTGATGAGATTTTATCAGCATTTCACTTTTAAAAATGTTTTCATAGATTACCAAGAGAAATATCAAGAGTTACTTGAAAGAGAAGATTTTTTTCCAGATTATGAAGAAAATGGAACAGACTTATCAGGGGCTGGTGATCCGTAAGTTCTTTTTTATTACCTTCTTTGTGAAATTTTGTTGTCAGAGTTTGTAGATGATAATATTCAACATTGTTATATGGGTATGTCTGTAGTAGTTATTTACCCAAATTTTCCAGAGTTTTGCTAGAAAATACAAACTGTGAATCTGAAAAAAATGTATATGTAATTGAGGGGGGAGAACTGTTCAAATATAGCATACTCATAATCTGTTTTTATAAGTTCTGTTATATCTAAGATTTTAAAATAAGTAGCTGAGGGGCCATAGATTGCTCAAAGGCTGAGCATTTACTTTGCTTTTAGGATGCCTGGGTTTGTATTCCTGGCACCGCGAAGTCCCTTGAGTATAACCAGAAGTAAATCCCGAAGCACTTGTTTTGACGTGTCCGCAAAACAAGAACAAGAATTAGTCTAATAACACAGGATCTTGGACAGGCTCTGTACCTGTTTATAAAACAGATTTCATCTAAAGGATATTTTTTTTTATTGATATTTTTTAAAATTTTTTTTTCCCTTTATTTTATTTTATTTTTTTTAAAGTTGTAGATTTACAATTTTTTGTGCTTTGGTTTCGATTATACAATGATCAGATACCCATCCCTCCACCAGTGCCCATTTTCCACCACCATGGATAATATCCCTCCCACCCCCATCCCCCCCTTCCCACCCTGCCTCTGTGGCAGGGCATTCCCTTTTGTTCTCTCTCTCCTTTTGGGTGTTGTGGTCTGCAAAAGAGGCATTGAGTGGCAAACATGTTCAGTCCATAGTCTACTTTCGACATGCATCTCCCCTCCTGGGAGGATCCTCCAAACATCTAAAGGATATTTTAAGATAAAAGAAAATGCAGATTACTGTAGAAAATGTTTGGAGTGATGGGTAGATGTAAATTGGAGTTCTTAGTCTCAGTTTCTTACTTGATGTTATTACTCCTAGCTCTGTGCTCAGGGGGAAATATCAAATTCTTTCTATTGCTCATGTCTACTGATATATTATTTATCAGTTTGAGAGCTTAATATGATGTCATTTTGGGGGCTGGAGCAATAGTACAAAGGGTAGGGCATATGCCTTGCACATGATCAAGCTGGGTTCGATACCCGGCATCCCATATGGTCCCCCATCCACCGCTGGGAGTAATTCCTGAGCATCACTGAGTGTGACCTAAAAGTCAGAAAAAAAAATGCCATTTTTAAATTAAATGACATTTAAAATGACATCCAATATCATTTTAAAATTAGTTTAATTATAAAAAGATGCAGCGATGTACAACTTAAGTGTAATTGCTTTGGAGACCGAGCCCTTCTGGGTATTCCACTAGGAGCTCAATTTGCTCTTAGTACTGAATTTCAGGTTCATATGTTAAAAGGTTTATATGCTAAGCTTTTATTCTCTCACTCTGTTGAATGAACTTGTGGCCTTTCCAACACATGGCCTTATACTGGACGGGAGAGAACAAAGAGCAAAGCACCCATCATCAAGTAGTAGGATTTAGTGGGGGCAGATGCTCTTTTTATGGGAGTCGGGAGGCACATACAGCATCATAGTGTGGGTGAGAGTATTAACAATTGGGAGCAATCTGGACTCAGATTCTGCCTCTCCCACCTCTCAATCTTACCCAAGTCTTAAAAGATACTTATTAAACTCAGTCTTTAGTTTGTTTGTTTTTACCTTTTCTTTTGAGATGCCAACATTTATAAAACTGTTAATGATACTTCCCATGCATTCGTCATTCCAACACCACACATCCCCAGAATGCCTGCTTTGCTGCACCAGTGTCCCAGTCATGCTCCCCGCTGTGTAGGCTCAGTTCCACAGACATCTCCAGTTTCAAGGACTGGCCAACAGTTCTTTCTATCCTATATATGAGAGAGTTTTTTTGCTTGTTCCTTTGTTTGGGGGCCACACCCAATGATGCTCAAGACTTAATCCTGACTCTACACTCAAGGATCGCTCTTTGCGAACTTGGGGACCATGTGGGGTGATACAGCTCTAGTCCCCAGAGAAATGTTTTTGTTTATTGTGCAGGTAGTGACTCTCAGCACATACACAGGTGATTAAAGCTAAACTCCTTTCACAAAATTGTAAATCAATAAGTTGATTAAAAATTTTTTCAAAACATTTAATAAGAGATTATAGAAATAAGTAAGAGATTACAAATAAAAATCTATAGATTTAAAAAAAAATTTTAGTAAGCCAGGGAGAACTAGACCTTTCTCAATCTTATTGAGGGCAGGCAACCATAAGCACCATGAGTGAATGCCATACTCAGGGGTAAAGGGCTAAGAAGTTTGTCTTTCAAAGAAACTCCTTTATCAGGGCTAGAGAGAGACTATAGCATGTAGGGTGTTGGCCTTCTGTGCAGCTCATCCAGTGACCCCAGCACATCATACGGTCCCCAGAACCCACCAGAAGTAATCCTTGAGCATGGCCAGATGGGGCCCAAAAGCCCTAAGAAAGGAGAGAGAGAGCTCTGTTAGACTTTTTGCAAAACTAGTTTCAAGACAAGTCTATTCAAATCTGAAGGATAATGTAGCTAGAGAGAGTATTTTTGGTGAGGTTTTCCTTTGATTTAGGGTGGTGTTTTTGCTTTGTTTTGTTTTCTTAAAGTATATTTCATCATTCTCTTCAGGCTGGTAGAGTCTCATTTGATACATCTTACTATGAATCTGTGGACTTACATTTTTTGTTTTTTGTTTTTTTTTAATCTTGCTGCTTTCAACATTTGGTCTCTGTGGCTTTTGTCATTTTGATTGTAATGTGTCTTGGAGTTTCTATATTTGGATTTACTTTCACTGGCACCCTTCTGTTTATTGTTTCTTGATGCCTACGTTCCTCAATTCTGAGAAATTCTTGGTGTTTTGTTTTGTTCTTAATGTTTCCTCATCATTCTGTATGATTGTTTGAGGGTTGCCAGACCATTTTTTTTTCAGGGCCACACCCAGTAGCTTTACTTCTGGTTTTGTGCTGAGGGATCACCCCTGTGGTGAAGGCAAGTACCCTACCTGCCATACCCTCGCTCTGGCCCTTCTTAGTCTATTTTTAAAATTCTTCATCAAGTTTTTCTTCCTGTTCAGGGACTTGATTCTTAAATGGTGCCTCTTGAACGCATCCCTTAAGTTCTCTGGTATGCTATTCATTCCTTTTCAAAGTTTTTTCCATGTTCTGTTTCCTGCATCTCACAGTGCTTTGATTTTTTTCCTCTGCTGCTGCTATTTTGCTCTATTGCGTTTTTTTTGTTTTGTTTTTGTTTTGGGAAACACAAGACTGTTCTGCGTACTTAATCCTAGCTCTCTGAGGCTCAGGGAGGGCACCATATGGGATGCTTCTGGGGACAGAATATGTGTCACCCCAGCCCATGCAGGGCCCGACCATATCAGGTGCACTTACCTGCTGCATTTTCAGGCGCATCATGTCGCTTACCGTACTCTTTATCTGTCATTGATGTTTATAGTGTTCTCATGTAAGCTCTTTGTTGTGCTTTTCTGACCACTTGTGCCATTGTTTCTTTGAGCTCTTTAACTATCCTCTGCATAGTGTCACTAAGCTCTTAAGAGTTTACAGAACTGGTTGCTGCTGATGGAGCCTTAAGTGTTACTATTTTCACTTGTTTAGCTTGGTGACTTTCTCAGGGTCCTCTCCATTGTGTTTTCTCTGTTTCTGCTGTGGTGGAGTGAATCTTTGTAGTTAATTCCTTGGTGTTCTGGGAGATTAGGCCGAGTGTTGCTCTTTTTCTTCCCTCCCTGTCTTGACCTAGTCACGGAGTAAAATGTGGGACTGAGTGAGTTGTAATGAGCACAGCTCTGTGTGGTTGTGTATGTGGCCACGTGGTTCAGATGTGGAGGTGGGCCTACTGAGGTTTTGGAGGGCATCAGGCATGGACGCTGCCAGGTCCCAGCTGGAAGGAAGGGGAAACTGTCTGGATCCAGAAAGTCCCTGGCATGTCAGCTGGAAGTTCAGTGTCACTGGAGGATTGAAGCAGAGGCTCAGGAGATGTGGAGATGGGCCTGCTGAGAAGAAGGTGGAGGGACCCGGTATTATTCGTACCTGTCTTTTTAAGCTGGCTATGAGAATGTGTATAATAAACCCTTAATGGGCACTTAATATTTTTTCCCATGGAAATCTTTTTTACCTCTCATTTTGAACACCTAATAGATAAGGAAAATCTTAGATAATTTAGAAAGTAAATTATTTGTTTCCCTACTGAATCACCATCAGTTAGAAAGCTATACTCATTATTGACTTTTGGGCACACAATGTTCCAACACCCTCCCCTCCACCAGAGTCCCCAGTTTCAGGCACTTTTCCTCTCCACTATTGTCCTAGTGTTTCCTTTGGAGAGTAAATTCTTACTGTGAAAGTTTGGCTCCAAATATGGATATCATTAAATTATTTAGGAACACTATGTTTTGTTTGTTTGGTTTTAGTTTTGGGGCCATACCCAGCGGTGCTCAGGGCTTATTCCTGGCTCTGCTCAGGGATTACTCAGGTGCTCGGGGACCAAATGGGGTGCTGGGGATTGAACCTGGGCTGGCCATGTGTAAGGTAAGCACCCCACATGCTGTTCCAGCTTTTAGGAACACCCTTTTTGATGTTAAATAAACATACAATAGTTATGCATCATTAGGTGAATGATACATCAGAAATTCATTATAATTATAGTATAATTAAATTATCTATGGGCTGGTGCCATAGCACAGCGGTAGGGCATTTGCCTCGCGTGCAGTCAACCTGGCAGAGCCGGTTGAGCCGGTTCGATTCCTCCGCCCCTCTCGGAGAGCCCGGCAAGCTACTGAGAGTATCTCACCCGCACGGCAAAGTCTGGCAAGCTTCCCATGATGTATTCAATATGCCAAACACAGTAACAAGAAGTCTCACAATGGAGATGTTACTGGGCCCGCTCGAGCAAATTATCTATGTGAAATTAATATCAACTTTGAGCCCCGAGGTTTATATGTCAGCCTTTAATTTGACTTTTCAGGTGGAAGAATTCAACATGACTACAAGTATTGCTGAATCTTAACCTCAAACGTGAGACTCAGATTCTAATTTAACACTTATTAAATTAGTTTGTGAAGGGAGTGAGATATTTGTGGATTTCTAAGCAGTAGATGCATTTTTTTAAAAAAAATTCTATTTTCATGACTTTGCATCTTAGAAATTCTGAACAGAAAAATCATTAAACTCATGAATTATCTTTGCTTCTTTTACAGATACTTGGATGATATTGATGATGAGATGGACCCAGAGATAGAAGAAGCATATGAAAAGTTTTGTTTGGAATCAGAGCGTAAGCGAAAACAGTAAAGCTAAATCTCAGCATATCAGTTTTATAAAGCAGTTTAGGTTATGGTGATTTAGCAGTCCACAGGAAAATAAGAAAATTTGTCATACCAAATTAAGGATCTTGAGTTATGTTACTAATGTATGTAACTTTAATTTTGTTTAACACTATCTGCCAAAATAAACTTTATTCCCTATAACTTAAAATGTATATATATATAATAGTTTATTATGTACAGTTAATTCCACTGTTTTGGCTGCAATAAAATCATTTTTGAAATAAACGTTGAAAGTAAATTTTGCTAGCTGGCTAGAAAGTTATCCTTTAAATTCTACTTTCCTTGAGGGAAAAAGTTTTTGTTTGGAAATACATATTACTGCAAAAATGTAGCATCCTTTTTTTAGATATGAGTGTCATAGCTTTCATTTAGTTTTACAATGGTGTCTCAATAAATTTGTTTTCAAATATGAATCACAATCATTAAATTCTTTACCATTAAAGTTTTAGACTATATCATTAACAACTGACTTACCTATCCAGCTGCTATTTGATACCAGGGATTTTTAAAATGTCATTAAAAAAATTAGAACTCCCAAGTAAACTAAGATTCTTTATTGAGGGTTTGCTATTCTAGAATTACTTTTTTTTTTTAAGCCTAACTTCATTTTCTTCAAACCTAGAGCTTTATTTGGCCTTTTCATTTTTCACTTTGTAGCATGAGTTGCATTGACTTTTTACTGGAGAGTTTTATGTCACTCATGTTCTCATCGGCTTTATAATTGATACACCTTACAGATCAGTTTTCTAATACTTTTACTATAATGTGGTACCACCTTGGCCCTAGTATTTTTATGTAATGTCAAATCTTTTTTCCAACTAACTAAAAAGTAAAACTTATGTACAAAAGGATTGCTTGTAAATATGCATGTAAATAGTGAATAACCCACTGTTTTACATTTGGTACATCTGTGTCTGCTAATACAGGTGGCTGTCTCACTTTTCTGCTTGTTTTCTTCAGTCTGAATTAAAATTAGACTTTGAAAATAAAATTTAAATAGTTTTGTTTCCTCTTAAGTTTTTGGAGTGGTATCCTGGTATTTAAAAAAAAATTGTTGAATTTGTTAACATGACATAAAATTAAGGTATCAAATCAGAAAAATTATTTTAAGACATAGTTTACTCAGTGCCTATTGAATAAATTAATAACAAATAAGTCTACTTGGAGAAACTAGCAAATACTCTTTATTGATAAAGCATATTATGTATGCGGGCTTTGGGAAAATTATAGCTCAGAATGATTTTTTTTCCGTAAGGGCTTGTGTACCATGGTGGCTATTACTTTTATCTGCAGTTCTTTGAAGATCACGCTCATTTTAATTTGGGGATAGGGCCAAGTTGTTAAAAAGTACGGTGCTTCCATCCAGAGGCTAAATAGTATTCTAAAGGAATATAGATTCTGACAGTTGCTAATAGGAAGAACTTTTCTCTATTCTGCATAGTTTAATAAGGCCTCAACTAGAAAAACTAAGGACTGGGGCGACTCAAACTGCAGGGGGCTATAATCACCTGGAGTCTTCACTCACACATTCTGAATGAATGGAAACCGTCACTTAATCAGAACCACATAACATAGCTTGCCCATGTGGGTTGGACATCTTAATAAATGGCGGTAACCCTGGGAAAGACCCCAGAAGAAGTTGTATTTTGAAGCTGCCCATGAGTTGGCTTTTGGCCCTAAAGTGAGTTGCTGGACAGGAGGGCATTAAGGAATGTGTGGCAATGTTCTGGTTTTTTGGTTGTTTTTTTTTGTTTGTTTGTTTTGTTTTTTTGAATCAGGAAAAGAAGTTTATTTGGAATAGCATAATTTGAACTTCTGAAAATTTGGAGAGATTCTGAAAAAGCTACACGTTTATTTTAAGTTGAATGCTGTCAGAACAGTAGTGATTCTATCTGCTGTTCCATTCAGTAGAGGGAGGACAAATGAGCTGAGATTATTTCTAACTTTTAAAAAATAGGTAACATTTAAGCAGTGGAAGCTGTTTAGGAGAAAGAGTACAAAAACCTGTCTAGGATTAAAGGATAAAACTATACTGCTTAACTGTTGATATTTAAACATCAGCTTAAATAGAAAAATAAAAAGCCTTGCCATTAATCAGGCTTGACACAGTACCAGCTGCAGTTAACAGGCAACCTGATCGTGATGGCTATAAAGTGTCATGAGCCCACCTTGTATGACCTCTGCTTTATTACCAGTGAGGCTGTCAGCTAGCTTCGTTTGTTACCAGCAATACCCTATTACTATATAACCCTCGCCCGGTGACAGCATCCGGTCCCTAGTTAATCATCTATTCCTGTTGGCAGAAATAGCATCCAACATAAAACTGGCCCTTCTTCTCTAAAAGGAGACTTTAGAATGGGAAAGAATTTTTTTTTTTTTTTTTAGTTTTGGGCCACAGCTGTAGATGCTCAGAACTTAATCTTTACTCTACACTCAGGAATCACTTCTGGCAGTTACGGGGAACTATATGGGATGCTAAGGATCAAACCTGGATCAGCTGCATGCAAGGCAAGCACCTCACCAGCTGTACTATTGCTCCAGCCCTGATGGAAATAAATCTTAACAAAGACGGCTCGATCCTCCACATGTGGAGTACTGTACCCCAAGTTCCTCTGGAGTGTGCTCCTTTGCACATCTCATAATACAATTTTGTCATATTTAGGTGTGAGCCTGGTGGTCTTTGCTTGACTAGATTTGAGCAGAGGCTCAAAGGCTGTGTGTATATATATATATATATATATATATAGCCTTTATATATAAAGGCTATATATTATATAGCCTTTATATACATATATAAAGGCTATATATATATAAAGCAGATGTAAATAAAGCTACCGCTGCATTTTGCCAGTGGCCAAGTCTGGGTGAACCTGCTGCTGCTCCTTGCGTTGAGGGCAGAATTCTAGTAGATTTTTCATCAGTATAAATGCATAATCACTACCTTGATCCCAATTTTCAGATACTTGCACACTCTCTGTGCTCTTTACCCCTTAGCTGATCACTTCATAGGTGAATAAATGGCTCCATGCAAATGTCCAGAAATTTAACTTCATCCTTTTTTTCTAATACAGGAAATTTCACTCATTTAAAGCCATTTATTAAGTATGTTAGAATCCTATCCCAGCTCACTCTCATGAGCTCTAGTTCTACTAGTTATTTGGCCTATATTTTTGTAAATAATTTTTTCTTTCTTAATAGGAGACACACACTCGGTGCTTGGAAGACCCAGGGGCTGCCATGGAGATATTATCCTATCCGTGCAAGCCTCATGGTTTGGTTCTTTTGGAGTGATGCTGGGCTGACGCCCAATGATGCTTGGAAGTCACCCAACAATGCTTGCAATTGGGACAGGGAGACGGAGTGACATAAGGTGCTTGGTGTAAATCAAACTCAGAACATAGTACATGCGTGGCTTCTCTCCACCTCTTTGAGTTATCTCCTTGGCCCTTTTGCTGTGTATTTATTTAATTTTTTAATTCTTTTTTGAAAGGTAGTGCTGGGAATTGAACACAGGGCTTATTAAATATCAGACAGATGTTGTTGATCTATGTTTCCAGTCCCTGTTCTGTATTTTTTAAATCTCCCAGTTCCTTTAGCCCTCTGCATGAGTATGCCATTCTTTTCATTAAAAGAAATCTGCTCCTCACGTTTCTGACTACAGCCCTTTTTCTGCTTGCTTTCTAGTCCAACTTTTTACCAGTTGTTTGGGTTTTTTGTTGCCTTACCTCCAATTTGCTCTTCAGGCGCACTGTTAACTTCTATTCTGCTATAACAGACCTCACAGCAAGTCAATTGAGACTTCTATGAAGAAGAAACCCAGTAGAAATTTTATTCTTTGACTTCTAGGCATTTTCCGAAACTGTCAGGTGATACCAAAACTAAAAATCTCTAGGTGTCTAGAATAATTAATAGCTTTTTTAAAAAAATCTGTGATGTTTTAGTAGGATTTTTTCTCTATTGTCATTTCTCAAAACGCAGACGTAAGTATTCTTTTCTCATGCCACAATAATTTCTGTAGGCTACTTCATCCTCTTCTATAGCTCAATAGCTATTAAATTTGTTTCATATTTCCAAATTCTAACTTGCTAATTTGTCACTTTCACTGAGAAGACACTAAATTTAAGTCATTTCTATTTCTTAAATTTGGTTGTCATCCTACATCCCCTAATTGATGATTCTGCCACTTTTCCACTTGCCTTGTCTCCCAAGAAACCTTGGAGTTGCTTCTAATTTCAACAGTACAACCATCACCAATACTCACAAGTTAATCTACATATTTGACCACTTTCCCTCCATCCTCACTGCCTAGTTTTGAACCTCAATTGTCATCGTCTGTCCTGTTGGTTTTTCAGAAGCCTGCTACAGAACTCCCATTTTTGGGTTTACATCCTACCATCCTTTCTCCACTCAGCACTTCCAGGAAACTTTCTAGACCATTCTGTAGTGGAGTGACGGGGTAAAGAGTTGGTAGTACTGTACAGCATAAATTAGCATTTTTTGTAGACACTGATGTTACAGATCAATGAAAACATTGTGTGAGGCTACCTATTTTATAGTTTGATAGACGTTAATTGGCATATCAGACATTTAAAAATGAAGATGTATTTAAGGAGTTGCTTCTCCCCATTCTAGATTAAAGCCCTATTGGCGGTTACCACCACCTTTAAGGAAAAGCCCATAATCCCCAAGATCTGTCTCTGTTGCGACTATACCACCCCTATCTCCTTGCTGACATCTCTAAGGCCTCTCCATCATACTTGAACTACGTCATTGGGACCCTTGAAGGGGCTAGATCTTCCCTCTGAGAGCCAGGGTTTTTGCCTGCTGGTCGTCCTGTGCTTGAGTCGGCTTCCCAGGCTCCCCGCGCTCTGCAGAGGCTGGGTCTGGGCACTGCCCCGTGATTCCCCGGAGGGACTTGCCACCACGTGACACAACGTCTTTTCCTGTCAATCTCTAGTTTCGGTACACATCCTCAGGGAACTGGGTCTCATGCCTTGCTTTCCAGCACACAGACGCCCCAGAAATAATGTATTTACTCCTAACGGCAGTAAATACCAATTCGACTTTTGACAAAATTAGGCAAATTAGGTCTTTGTCCAAGGCGCTTTTTTCCCAGTAGCTTGTCTGGGGAAGTGAGCGTTTCCCTGTGAAAACTTTTCCATGTGGTGAGTTCTTACACCCTTGAGCAGAACGAGGTCAGGGAGAAGCAGGTCCCTCCGGTGGGGTGACGGACTGAAAGTAGTTAGCAGGATGCCGGACTAGGACGTCTGGCGTCCACTTCCGGTTCCGTCCTTCTCCCTCGGAGCACGACGGGGCGTGGCTCCCCGGCTCACGGCGCGCCGTGGGCGGGACTTCCGGTCTGGCCCCTTCCCGGACCCGGAAGTCCGCAGGCCGCGGGGGCGGGAAGGTTTGAATAGCTGTTGGCCGGTGTTGGCTCTTATGGAAGCCGAGTTGGCGCGGCGGCTGCTCTCTTGCTACTCGTACTTGACGAGCCTCACGGCCGAGACACTCTCTGTGCCCTCATCCTTCTGCAGTTGCGATTATTTTCTTTCGTCCAGAGACATTTGTTAGTCTTTTGTCGGTTTCCAGAACCTGCCGCTGGGAGTCGTGGGCATGCGCAGAAGCTGCGACTTGGAGCCTTTTGCAACTTAAGTCCGAGTTGCTGTTTCCGAACCTCCTTTCCAGCGGTCGGTGTGAGTCCAAGATGTCTGGTGGTGTTTGGGCGACTCCTTTTCTGTAAATAGGTATCGACCTTTGGAGAAGAAGGTTCTCATCTCACCGATACCGGGAGCTGACCCGTGGGGTTTTGTTGGCTCAGCTTGCGGAAGGGGGTGGGATGGTGACAACACAGCTGAACAGGTAGAGATCAGGCTGAAACGCAGGTTGGACTCGAACGTGAGTTTTTCATGATCTGGTAGGATCTTGAGACGGTTCACGATTTCTTGCTTTCCTTGTTATTTAAACTAATGTTTGCTCAATACGCTTTTAAAAAATCACCAAAGTTACTTTCTCCCCACTTAGAAAAACATAACTTTTCCCAACTGCGTAGCTGCTCCTAATTTTTCTGAAACGTAGATGTCTAAATTGGTCTCAGATTTAACATATATATACCTCCCTAGGGTGGGTAGGCTGGGAGGTGACAGATGGCTTAAGGACCCTGTCATGCAGTGCTCCCGACCATCTGTGCAGGAGGCCACCAGCAGATTTATTTTCCTTGTCTTCTTGCTGTTGCTTTTTTTGGTGAAAAAGACCAATAAACTAAAAATGGGAAATGGGGGTGCGGGGAAACCGGTGTCACAATTTTAATTTTTGCTCTTTAAATACAAGTTAAAGGAAAGTGCAGAGAAGAATGAACAATATCACATATTGAGCAGTTGAAGTAGGATGAAGAAAAATATTGTTGTGAAACTCTTCTAGGAGAAAGGTGGAGGAGGAAATGGGATTAAGGCTGATGGGAAAGTGGACAGTGGTGGCTATCACACTTTAAAAGTTTATTGGTCTACAACACCCCAAAGGAGAGAGAGAACACAGGGGATTGCCCTGCCACAGAGACAGAGGGGATGGGGGGATGGGGGTGGGAGGGATATTATCCATGGTGGTGGAAAATGGGCACTGGTGGAGGGATGGGTATCTGATCATTGTATAATTGAAACCAAAGCACAAAAAATTGTAAATCTACAACTTTAAAAACAATAAAATAAAATAAAGGGGAAAAAAAATAAAATTAAAAAAAAAGTTTATTGGTCTGACAAGGATGAAAGGGAAAGTGGTGGGCCAGAGAGAGAGATTGCAGAAGAAGGAAAGCACTTCCCCTAAAAAGGGGTAAACAGCTATTAGTGGAAACTGTGTTTCTGTTGTGGTCACTTAAGTTTAAGAGGAAAGGACAGTGCCCTAGGAGACTAGTGTTAGAAAGGAATCAAGATTTATTCAGCATCCTCAGCATGACATCCTTAGTGCTAGACACTTCACAACTCTTCCTATTTTTATTTAGGCTTTTGGGCTACATCTGGCAGTACTCGGGGCACAATCCTGACTCTGTGCTCAGGGATCATTCCCATCAGGGATCAGGGGACCAAACGGGGTGCCAGCGATCAAACTTTGCATGGCAAGCGCCCTACTATTTGTACTAATTGGCCCCACAACTATCCATGTTTTTATTTTATTTATCTTTGGTTTTGGGACCACACCTAATGCTCAGGAGCTACTCCTGGTTCTATACCCAGGAATCACTCCTGACAGTGCTCATGGACTATATACGTGGTGCCAGGAATTGAATCCTGGTCAGCTGCTGGCAAGGCAAGCACCTTACCTACTGTACTATCTCTCCATTCCCCCACCCCCATCCCAATTTTTAAACAAAGCGACAAAGAGCCAGCAGCTAATAGTTGGTAAATGGTGGAGTAAGAATTTGTTTTTTGTTTTATGGGCCATACCTATATAGAGATATCATCTTAATGCAAGGGGTTAAGTTGAGTGCCCTCTCTACTGCTGATCCTGTTTGATCCTTGGCATCACATGATCCCCTGAGCACCGAGCCAGGAGTTGCCCCAAAGTACCAGGTGTGGCCCAAACCACTCCTCCCCTGAATTAAACAAAGTATAAGCAAAGGGAATATGTTTTGTTTATGTTCTTAGAAAATGCATCTATTTATTTGGATAAAACTTGATGCACCAAAAATATCTGCTACTGTTTCCTGTTTCTTTTAGTATTTACTTTGGAAAGACATTTTATTCAAAGACAGTAGAAATGGCGGCTGAAGTGCAAATGGTACTTTATGAAGATGATTCCGTGCAAGTTCAATATGTTGATGGTTCCAGATTGCAGCTTTCTCCATGTGGTTCTGAATTTTTGTTTGAAAAGGCGCCTTCTGCTTCAGCACACCCTTTAGAACAATCAGGAAGAATTCATCAAAGGACGCATTTTGTTATTAGCACTTACCGAGTAAGTAAAAATGATAGAAAACTGCTTTTTTAAATATAAAAAATACAAAATATATAAAAATACTGCCCAAGTGACCAGAATATGGAAGGGAGTTAGCAATCTCATTCTCAATTTAATTTTTTGGTTTTGGGGCTATACCTGGTGATTCTCATGACTTATGCCTGACTCTATGCCCCTTATCAGTAGATAAGGCACTATAGCTATAGTACTATAGCTTTGGCACTTCTAAATTGATTTTAAATCTTTTCTTAATGACACCCACGAGTTGCCCCCGGCTACTTATTAAGCTCCTAAATGGCCAAGATCCAGAGACACACAAATGAATCTTGGAACCAGACAGCTTGCTGCAGAGATCTTCCCGACCCTAATTATTAAAATTTTAGAATTCCAGGAGCGCATGGCCGCTCCTGCAGCTGTGCAACATTATATGCAATTCATAACAACCAATACAAAACAAATTGTCTAGCATTGCCTTTTTGGCAGGTTTGAATGGTGGTGGGGAAATTCCAAATAATAATAATGGGACTGGTGTCAAAATATTGAATGTACTCAAAGTAAAGAGAGTATTGTGGAAATTGTCTGCCACACAGGCAGGGGAGGGTTGGGATGGGTGGGGGATACTGGGGATTTTGGTGGTGGATATGTGCTCTGGTGAAGGGATGGGTATTTGATCATTGTATGACTGAAACTCAAACATTAAAGCTTTGTAATTGTATCTCACAGTGATTCAATTAAAAAAAATCACTTCTTAAGATTACATCTTCTATTTTGTTTTGTAGGAACAACTACAACGAGCCTTGGAGTTTCGAAACTCTTATGCTACTTGCCCTTTTTTATCTGAAAGCATCATCCCTTCTGAAAGAAAAAAGGTAAGTGTTTTAACTTAATTTGGGAGGATGGAGGTTTGGGAACCACATCAAACAATACGTAGGGCATACTTCTGGAGGTGCTGGGGGACCATGTGCAGTTCTGGGAATCGAATCAGTATTGCTGCATATAAGGCCAAGTGTCTTAACCCCTGCACTTTAAACTTGATTTTAATGTATTTGAAGTAATAAATTAATAGCACAGCGGGAAAGGCGTTTGCCTTACATGCGGCTAACCTGGCCGACCTGAGTTCGTTTCCTCCACCCCTCTCAGAGAGCCTGGCAAGCTACTGAGAGTATCTCACCCACACAGCAGAGCCTGGCAAGCTCCCCGTGACATATTGGATATGCCAAACACAGTAACAAGTGTCACAATGTTACTGGGCCCGCTCGAGCAGATCGATGAACAACGGAAGGACAGTGAATAATAAAGTAATGCTTTATTTTATTTTGGGGGTTATGGGGCCCACACCCAAGGGTGCTTAGGGCTTACTCCTGATCTGCATTCAGGGATCACTCCTGGAAGGCTCAGGAACCATATGGGGTGCTGGGGAATCAAACCTGGGTCGTCCACATGCAAGATAAACAACTGCCCTCTGTACTATTGCTCTGGTCCTGAAAGTAATGCTTTATAAAGTAATATTCATAGGCAAGTCATTGGGAACAAAGAGATGATTATTTAGTCTTTGTATTTATGACTTGACCCAGACACAATGCTATAGGCTGTGTAGGCCTATTTATTTCACCACAGTAGTATTTTGGACAGTAGTATTTTTGACTTAGGCAGTGAAGTTACATAGATCTCTCCCTTTTTTCCTTTTTGCAGGCCAAGGATTATACAGAAAACTTTGGATTGGTGACTTTTTAATTCTCAGAGGTGTCAAAATTAAGAAATTACATGACTATTTTTAGTAGCTCGTGTGTAGTTATTTGTAAAGCTATTCTAGAGATCTGTAATATTTCAGAAACAAAATGTTATTTTCCCTACATTATTTTGTTGTTAATATTGTGGGCCATTCCCAGTGGTGTTTGGAGGTCACCAGAGTCACTCCTAGTGTGGAGCAGGGCATGCAGGGCTAATCTTTCAACCCATGGACTCATAATGCCTGGCATAAATGAGACTCCAATACTTGAGGCACTTTCCTGCCCTGCTTACATGCTTTTATTCATACTTTAAGCCATGAAAAAATTATTAGTTGTAACTTAGTCTACAAGGCTATTTTTTCCACTTTTTTTTTTTTTTTGCTTTTTGGGTCACACCCGGCGATGCACAGGGGTTACTCCTGGCTCTGCACATAGGAATTACTCCTGGCAGTGCTTGGGGGACCATATGGGATGCTGGGAATCAAACCCAGGTCGACCGCATGCAAGGCAAATGCCCTACCCTTTGTGCTATCACTCCAGCCCCTATTTTTTTTTCTCTCTCTCTCTTTTTAAATAGGGTCCATGGTACTGGGGGACTCAGGACCTCTCCCAGTAGTGGCTAGCCAGTAGAGCAAGACTTAGTGTTTAGTTGCTCAGGCCTGTAAGTACTGTGCTTTGGGACCAATGCATGTGTTCTGGGTGTAGGTGGTTGAACTCAGGACTTAGAACATTCTAGGCATGTGCTTTACCACTTGTATTATTTCTTTTACTCCCTACTATCTTTGTTATTCATTAAGACTAGGTAGCTTGCTGATGCTGCAGTAGACTATTACATTAATTGTCTACTTCTAGAAGAGAACTTTCTTATCTCCCTGCCCTACTAAGAAACTGAAATTTGGTCAAGTTATGGCCAACAGTATTACAGCTCGAGCGTTTTGTTTGTTTCTTTGTTCGTTGTTTTCTCTTTTGGTACTACATTTGGTAGAGAAAACACTAACTCAAAAAGCACTTGAGCTAGGTGTTTGAGTTCCCTGGGCAAGAGGAGCACTTATTTAAGAAGTAAGACAGAACTTGTCCCCACCCAGACTTGCATAATCCAGATGAGGTTTTCAGCCTGATGGAAATTTGTGGTAGCTGGTTATTTTCAAGCATGGGTTGTCTTTGGCTTGCCAGCTATGGTTTCATTTTTCTTTTAGTGATAGATGGGCATGCTGGAGTGTCTTGGTGTGCCTGAGATCTGACAGTAGCCTTCCAGTTCTGTTTGGTTTTCATCCATATCATCTATGTTTTTTTTTTTTGTTATTTTGTTGCTTTTTTAAAAATGTAATCAGTACAAACTGTCTTTGTCTTCAGTGAATATTTCCTTTAATTTATAGTATACTAACATCTGTACATTAGGAAGCTCTCTAAAATTGAGACTTGTTATTTGTAAATTTAGGGTTTTACATAAATAAAAACATGAAATATTTTGTATAACATCTACATGCTGAATGAAGAGATACTATAGGTACTATTAACTACTGCCTTCTAGTGTATTTTATTGTTTAAAATGTTACTGTTTAAGCAACATGGAATTTAGCATATAATGTGCCAGTTGCTATTACTGATACTTTATACATAATATCTTATTTACTATAGTTCATGTGATAACCCTTTGAGATAGCATTTCCCAGATGCTTTTTAGTATTTCTAGAACCGTTTATTAAATGGTAGTTCTCTTTTCCTTCTGTATTGAAATGCTTCGTTATCATATGTAACATCTTAGGATGTGTTGAGTCTCTTTCTGTTGTTCTACCAATTAATGTTGTTTGCTTCTTATTTTAATTTGTTTGGGGGTTACAACCAACAGTGTTCAGAGGCTTTTCCTGCTCTGTGCTCAGGAGTGACACCTCAAGTGCTTGAGGGACCGTAGGTGACAGTGCCAGGGATTCTTACCAGAACTGGCCACATGCAAAGCAAGTGCCTTCGACCCTGTACTATCTCTCCAGCCTAGTCAGTGATGTTTATGGTGATTCCAACCAGTCAGATTTGATTGCTTTCAATGTAATATATCACAATCCTGGTTCTTCCATATTTAAATATTTTTTAGAGTAGAATTCTGAGAGGGGCTATAAATCTGTTTATCTTTTTTTGAAGATATGTGTTTGGAGAAAAAATGAATTGTTTACAGAAAATACTCACTGTCTCTTTTTCTTCTCTTAACTCAGTGTATTTTCATTGACATCACAGAAGTAAGATGGCCCAGTCTTAATACAGACGATGGCTTGATATCTATGCAGAGTGGCACCGTGACGATCTCATCTTTAGATGGTCATGCATATCTTTGCCTGTCAAAGTCTCAGCATGAATTTACAGTGCATTTTTTATGCAAAGTAAGCCAGAAGCCAGAATCATCTAGAGTACTATCAGAAAAAAATAATCAAGCCCAAAAGGATAGACTAGTTGAACAAACAGGAAAAATCTGTACATATGGGAATTTATCAAGACGGAAACTGAAGAATAAAGAAAATAAACTTTGTTGTCAGACTATGAAGTCCACAGACCCTCTCAAGGATTGTGTAGATGCAGCTGAATGTCAGAAGGAGCTGCCTTCTCCTGGTGTGAAACTCACGTGTCTGTACACGTGGGTAAAGCAGTGCTGGTCTGTTGCTGCCTGCCCAGAGGAATGGAAGTACCCCTTGTCTTTAGCACTTCATTTTCAAAACAAAATCCGCAGTCAGTCTGAAACGGATACAGATGTCACCCAGAGGAGTGTTTTAACTTCTGATGTTTCAGAGGAAAAAGGAAAAGAAATTTCTGTTCTCCCGAGGGCCCTATTACTTAGCTGTCCTGCCCCACACCTACACAGGTAATTAAAGAAGGATTAATTTATGAGCTTTCATCAGAACCAGTTTTTAACCTTGGGGATAATTTTTCCTTCTAAAACATCTGATACTATTCAGAAGGAAAGTTTATTCAGCTGATAAATGGCAATAAATAATTTCCCTGACAAATGTGTTGCTCATATACGTAGTTGGGAGGTTGTTCAGGAGCCTGTGGTGCTTAGTCTAAGGAGGTGGTGCTGTTCAGAGCAGCAGGGTCACCAGGTGTATTATCTCGGTGACTAAGCTGTCCTGCAAAGCATCTACTACTGCCCTTTGAGGTAACTCCCTGGTCCCCGCTTACATTTGGGTGGGAAGGGGGATGGTGTGCTGAGAGGGAGGGAAAGGTCCACACCTGGCTGTGCTTTGGTTTATTCCTGGTGGGTTTGAGGGAATCTCCTAGAATGCCAGGTCACCATCTGGGCCAACTCCATGTCAGGCAAGTACCTTACCCACTGTACTATCTCTCCGGCTTTCCTTCCTACTTTTTTAACTTCGTCTACATGCATTGAACATTTGCAGAAGATTAACTTTAAGTACTTTGTTCATAAACACAGGGACTAGAGAGGTGACTAAAACACAGCCTTTTAAAAAATTTTGGAATCAGCTGAAGGTCACTGTCACTGAAAGTATTAAAGGGTAGTAAGTAGTAGTATCGGGCTTTGGAGGAGGGAGCACAAAGGAGTATTAGTTGCCACTCAGAGGATCCTATTATGTGTTTGCTGGAGGATAATTCTGACACAGGCCACTGCTATCTTTGGTTTACTGCGTGTATCTATGTCTTTGTTTAGAAGGAGTAAATGTGGAGGGGCTTCCGAATGACTCCTTACTTCCCTTTTACCGAGAGATGAGTTACTTAATGGTTGTAGATTTGGAGTGTAACGAAAGTGAAAATAACTAACATAAAGGTCTCTGTGTCAGACACTGTCACACATTATTTGAGTCTCATAATATGAAGTAAGTGTGAATATCTTCTCATTTTGTAGAGGAACTCAAGACACAGAAATGATAACCTGAGCAAAGTCATATTTCTAGTACTTACAGTGTTAGGGTTGGAACTCAGTCTTAGAGTCCGTATTTTCTTTAAATTTAATTTAATTTTATTTATTTTTGCTTTTTGAGTCATACCTGGTGATGCTCAGGGGTTACTCCTGGATCTGCACTCAGAAATCATTCCTGGAGGTGCTTGGGGGGACCATATGAGATGCTGGGAATTGAACAGAGGTCGGCTGCAAGCAAGGCAAACGCCTTACCCGCTGTGCTATTGCTCTAGCCCCAGAGTCCATAGTTTTTTAAAGCAAAATATGAAAATTATTTTTTTACTTGCTTTCTAGTTAAAATAGGAAATGCCAATATTATAATAGATTGCAAAAGAAATGTTTCTAAATGAATCATTTTTCAATAACTTTAATTAAAATCCATTATCTCTAAGCACGGTTTATACACTTTTTCTACCTGTAATCCTCTGCTCTCTCACCACGCTTCCCTTGCTTTCGCTGTTCTTGCTAAACTGAACTTCTTGCAATTTCTAGAATGCTTACTCAGGCTTTCATTCACCTACATTCCTTTTCTTTCCTTTACCAGGAATACGTCTTTGTCTTGCTCAGCTCACTATTTCCAGATCTTTCCAACTTTTCTGCCATAGAATGGTTGCCCCATGGTCTCTCTATTTCTATAAAGTCTCATTGCATCTGAGTATTCTCCTTTATTTATATACAGTGATTACTGTTTCAAGTCTCTGTGTCTGTGAGGTGGAATTCTTTCTCAAGGGGGAGTGATTGGTTCCCTGTCTCCTTTTTCCTTTTTGGTTGTAATGTCCTCAGTGTGTATAACATAGTGTCCCACCTAGATATTTAAGTAAATAAATATTTGAATCCTAAACTTTAGAAATTAGTAAAAATCATTTTATCTTGCGATTGGATAGTGATATTAATGGAGATAACTTAGTTTCAAAAATTGAAAAATAAGATTAGTTTTAATTTACATTATTATACTCTCATTATTTTTACTTTTAATACGTTAAAACAAGGTCAAATCTTATAATACTAACACTGTTATTTTCACTAATAAGGATAATTATGTGATATCCAAGATTCATTTTTCATTTTTCATTTCATCATCCTGTTATTCGTCGATTGCCTCGAGCAGGCCCCAGTAACGTCTCTTTCATCCTAGCCCTGAGATTATATTCAAGGCTATTTAGGAGAATGAGACCCATCATTGTTACTGGTATCTGGCATATTTGGTACGCCACGGGGAGTTTGCCAGACTCTGCCCTGTGGGCAGGCTACACTCGATAGCCTGCAAGTTTGTCCAAAGTAGTAATGAGACAATAAGATGTCATAAAAAAAAGTTCTGATAAGATGTCAGAACTCTGCCAGTACCTTCATGTGTGCGGAGAGTGGTCTCAGCATGGTGGTGGCTGGTCCTGGAGGTCTTCGGCTGCCGGAGCCCTGGTCGGGGCGGGGAGGAAAGCTCAACCCGCTCCCCTCCAAGGGGCTCCAGGAAGGAACACCCAGGCGCGGGGGCAGAAGACTGAAGATTAATAACCTGTATTTTGTCTTTAACAGGTGGAATTTCTGTGATTCACTTTTACAGGAAGAGTCAGATGAAGAGTATACCTACCCTGAACTAGTGAAAGTGGTTTGGTATAAGGGTGTTACATATAGGTAAGACATCTGTTTCAGAGCTAACAATGTCATCGAGGAGACAACACTAACCTTGCTGACAGAGCATATAGATAGACTGGGGCAACTGCTGTCCTGATTTTGGTTCTAAATTTTATGGGTTACAGAATTAATTTCAGTAATGCACACAAGGATCTTAATGTGCATGAATCAGCTACAGGTTTTATGTGACAACGCCAAAATCAGTGTGGAGTTAGTTTGACTGGAGGTGAAATACTCATGTTATTTAGGAAACCCCTTCCAAGCAGTGGAGGGCTGGCTGCTTGTTTGAATTGTTTTCATAGAAAATTACCTACAGAATATAAAATTGGGAAAGAAGTTGGGTAGCTAATGGGGGATTTTAGCCTTTATTCACACAATAAATAATGATAGAGTGTGGCTGTTCTCTGTCCACACTGTATTATCCAGTTAACAAGTTATCCAGTGTGTACACATGTCTGTGCCTAGTGGGAATGCAGGTATTGGCCAGATTCAGACTTTTACTTTTAGAAATAATGCTGGAAGAGTACTGCAGAATTTTTACTCTTTGGACTCTCCTAGTACAGAATGAACCCTATTTCCTTCTAAATATATATATATATATATATATATATATATATACACACACACACATATATATATACAGGGCTGGAGCGATAGGGCGTTTGCCTTGCACGCAGCCCACACGGCCCACCTGAGTTCGAGTCCTCCACCCCTCTCGGAGAGCCCTGCAAGCTACCGAGAGTATCTCGCTTGCACAGCAAAGTCTGGCAAGCTACCTGTGACGTATTCGATTTGCCAAACACAATAACAAGTCTCACAATGTTACTGGGCCCGCTCGAGCAAATCAATGAACAATGGGAGGACAGTGATAGTGAGGTATATATATATTTATAAAATTGCCTTGACTTACCTTATGTTATTTCCTCAATACCTTGGTAATACTTGGCTGCCTCAAGTACAGTCAGCTTGTCTTAGGAGAAAGGATCTTTGTACCTGACCTGTATCATGCATTAGGTACCAGATTTCCTAATTTCCTTATTAAAAAAATAATCTTACTTCAGGTTCTAGAGGTTATTGTATTAAACTTTTGCACAGTGAGTATTGCTTTGGTGACTATTAGGTATCCTTTACTATGCTTGGTGTGGGGATATTGGGTGAGGTGAGAAGTTTGACTTCCACCAACTGAGCTTAGTTGTTCACATGAGAACAGCAATCAATTCCGTGTATTCTGTTTTTATCTTTTGTGGGAAATAAAAGTCTTTTAGTTTATTGAGGTGTAGAATATAAAATTACCCATTTTTTCCAGAGTGACACACAATTTGAGCACAAAAGCGTCCAAGCAAAGGAGCAGCTTGGGCAGGGGTTATTTTTGTTTTTGTTTTAACTTTAAACACCGTGGTTAGAAAGTTATTCATAATACACTTGTATTGGGCATTCAGTGTTCCAACGCCAGTCCTCCCACCGGGGTAACCTTCTCTCCACCAATGCCCCAGTTTCCCATAAAAATACTCCATTTTGTGAAAATTGTTATATTTCACAATGGAGTCATAAAGCCATTGTTTGGAGGGCTTACTAAGCTCTTTTATGTTAGCTAAGCCTTCTGTGTTACTAATTTTCTTTACAGAGCTTAGTTCGCTTTTATCAGTTCACATCTGATTTGCTGTGCTCCTGCTGGAATGTCAGGATTGTGGAATTTGGAGATGTTGGGTGGCCAAAGATAAATACTATATATTATGATCTAATATATACTGTAGCACTGTCCTCCCATTGTTCATCAATTTGCTCAAGCGGGCACCAGTACTGTCTCCATTGTGAGATTTGTTGTTACTGTTTTTGGCATATCGAATACACCACGGGGAGCTTGCCAGGCTCTGCTCTGCTGGCAGGATACTCTCGGTAGCTTGCTGGGCTCTCTGACAGGGATGGAGGAATTGAGCCTGGGTCAGCCGTGTGCAAGGCCAACCTGCTGTGCTATAGCTCCAGCCCTAATATTTTTATAATATTAAAAAGTAATATTATGTTTTTTTACATACTTGGATTTTACAAAGTCAAATATATTCTCAACTTACCACAATAGCATGCTGAAAGGGAATAAAGGTAAAAAGACTACAAGAACATCTTTGCAGTTAGATATGCATGGAATCAAATTTCAACCCTCCTGATTATACATAGTGTAACTCTGGGCAAATTACTTTAAAAAGCCATAATTTATCTGTAACGTGATCTCACATTACACTAGTCTATCAATCAGAGTTCCAAACTTATTTGGCCTAATGCCCCATTTTCAGAAAAATAAGAACTCAGCACTTCCCTTAATTAAGCAAAGTTAAGACAGTAAGAAATTGTTGGGCCAAAGGATAGTTTAGTGGGTAGGTCATTTACCTTGCATGTGGTCAGCCCAGTTTCAATCCTGGTATCCCATGGGGTCCCCCCCAAGCACCATAAGAAGTGGTTCCTGAGCACCGAGGGGTGTGGCCTCAAAAGCAAAAGCAAAAAGGAGGGAGGAGGAGAAAGAAATTGTTACAGATTTAGGTTACTCTTAGTATTTTTGGTTACTGTTACAGATTTTTTATTCAATGTTGAAAAATATTTTTAATAAAGTTAATATAACTTCTGGTTAAAAGGAAACATTTTGTTGGGTGAGCAAAAGACCATATTTCTTTGTTTAAAAAAATATTATCTTTATGTATCTTTCATCTCAGTTAAATTTTTTTTTAAATAATAATTTTTCTTCCTTAGACTTACTCATAAAAATGTGAATTCTTTAGAGATTTATCCTGGAGATGGGTCTGTTTTCAAATCAGAAGGAGCTTATTTGGGGAACTTTTTTACATATTACTATGGTCAAGAAGGATCAGAAGAGGTAAGCTGATAATGCAGTTTCAGTTGTTTTAAAATAATTTATGATATACATATGTATATTTATATGAGAAGTTTGATCTTTATGTAACAATGCTTACTCCTCAGCAGTCTGGAGATTGAATGCAACATTACTGCCAACCCAGGTGCAGTTAATTATTAGCAACTTTACTTTTACTATGTTCTCATCTTTTAATCTGTCAATAGTTTGCCTAAGCAATTTGTGTTTTTTCAATTACTTTTTTGCAATTTTGGGGATTGGATATCATGAAGATAGGGTATATACTTTACCGCTGAGCCATATTCCCAGTGTGTGTTTTAATCAGAAGCTGAATTTATTCTGTCATGGAATTAGTAATCACTAAAACCAGCAACATTATATTGATTTGGAATAATATTTACACACTAAAAAGCATATTTTGTCACCATGTAGTTGTTTGCATGTTTTAATACATTTCATTTTGACTTTTACATCTTTATATGTAGTTAAAAATTAAATAAGGTTATTCTGTTATTAATAACAATAAAACACAACTTGATATTTTAATATGTCATATCTAATGTAAAATAAGGATTTTTGTTACTTGTATTTCCAATTACTTGCATGTGGGAAATACAAATTAAAATAACAACATTCTCATTCATCGAGTAGCTAAAAATTTAAGAGATTGATAAGGGATGGAGCGATAATACAGTGAAAAGAGTGTTTCCCTTGCATAATGCTGACCCATGTTCAATCCCCAGCATCTGATATGGTTGCCTAGCACCAGAGCCAGGAGTAAGCCCTGATTACTGTTGGGTGTGTCCCTAAAACAAAAAAACAACAACAAAATTTTAAATAGCAAAATGGTATATTTGTGTAGTTAAATAATTATTTTAAACTATACAGTTGATTTTTGTTATTAAAGGGATAATGAGTAGGAAAAATAATGTTCTAATCTAATCAAGTAATTGTAAGTGTAGCTAATATTTAAATTAGGCAGGAAGTTAAAGGTTCTTAGAGCTGGGGCTATATGAGGAACACATGTTTCTTTGTATTACAGTCCCAGTGCACACAGAAAAGGCTATTAGAATATAACTTTTGAATGAATTGGGGAAATGATAAACTGCAAATGCTCCTAAAAATATTTTTAATTGTATTCCTTTTATAGGCCTTAGATTAAGTTAAAACAACTGCTTGCCTTGCCACTTTATAACATTTCCAAAAAATTAGCTAGTCAATGTCCAAAACTTATTAATGAGATTTTTTTTTTAATTTCAGAAAGAAGAGAAAATGTATTCAGTGAAAAACCTTCCTCCAGATAGACCAGGAAGTCTGTTCTCTGTTAGTTCTCTCATCAAACAGGCAACTAAGTAAGCTTTACACATGAGCAGAGTCCAGTTAGGGTCTAGATTCTGCATATATTTTCCAGTGGTTAGGATAAAGTTATTTAGTTGGTAAATGCAATGAAAAAATTAAAAAAAAATTTTAATTGAATTGCTGTGAGTTACATAATTACAAAGTTATTCTTGGTTGTATAATGTACATTTATATCTGTGGTAATCTATCAATTTTTCTGGTCTTATCGCTTATGAAATAGAGTAATGACTAGATCACTGTATAAGTACTCTTTTTTTTTTTTCTTTGCTTTTTCACACCCGGCAATGCACAGGGGTTACTCCTGGCTTTGCACTCAGGAATTACTCCTGGCAGTGCTCAGGGGACCATATGGGATACTGGGAGTTGAACCCAGGTCAGCCGCATGCAAGGCAAATGCCTTACCCGATGTGCTATCATTCCAGTCCCTGTAGAAGTACTCTTTTTTTTTTTTCCTCAACAAGAAAGTGTGAATTTTATTCGTTGATTGTCAATCTAAGAAGTTTGCAAGTGAAACAAGGGAAAATTATTAGTGGCTTTTTTTTTAAAATTTTTATTAGTGAAACACCATGAGGTGTTGTAGATTTACAAATTTTTGTGCTTGGGTTTCGATTATACAATGATCAAGTACCCATCCCTCCACCAGTGCTCATTTTCCACCACCATGGATCCCAGTATCCCTCCCATACCCATCCCCCCAACCCCTGCCTCTGTGGCATGGCATTCCCTTTTGTTCTCTCTCTCCTTTTGGGTGTTGTGGCCTGCAAAAGAGGCATTGAGTGGCAATCATGTTCAGTCCATAGTCTACTTTCAACATGTATCTCCCCTCCTGGGAGGATCCTCCAAACACCCTTTATTTGGTGCTTCCTTCTCTATCTGAGCTGCCCTTTCCCCTAGAGTGTCCGGCTGGCCTCTAAATCATGGAGTAATCCTCCTGGTACTGATCTCGGCTATTCTTGGGTATTAATCTCCTATTTTGTTACTTTATGTCCCCCAGATGAATGCAATCTTTCTATGTCTATCCCTCTCTTTCTGACTCATTTCGCTTAGCATGATACTTTCCATGTGGTACCACTTGTATGTAAAATTCATGACTTCATCTTTTCTAACAGCTACGTAGTACTCCATTGTGTAGATGTACCAAAGTTTCTTTTACCAGTCATCTGTTCTTGGGCACTCAGTTTTTTTCCATTATTGTAAAGTGTGCTGCAATGAACAAACAAGTGCAGATGTCACTTCGGCTATACTTTTTTGCCTCTCTGGGATATATTCCCAGGAGTGGTATTGCCGGGTCAAATGGGAGCTCAGTTTCTAATTCTGTAGACGTACTCTTGCCTTGAAGTTTATACTTGTTTTGTTTTGTTATTTGGGTCACAGTGGCTCAGGGCTTACTTCTGCCTTAGGGTGAGGGCACAGTATGGGGTGCTGGGGATCGAACTGGTCCACCTCGTGAGAGTCAGGTGCTTTGAAATTCAGAGTTAAATATGGAACAACACCCATTTATGTCAAGTAGATGCTGGTAGGAAGTAAGTGCCTTTCCTCTGGATGTGATCTCATTAATGTTCATTGGAATCATTTAAGGATTTCTTGATTTAAAATTTTCAGATTCTTCATCTTTATTTTTTTTGGTCATATTTGGCAGTGTTCAGGGGACTATGTGTCATAGACCTGGGGCTTCTGTATGCAAGTCATGTGCTGTAGTCCTCTGAGCCATATCCCAGCCTCTACAACTTTTACATTTCTTTATTACCCATAGAGTAGTAAACATTTCTGAGAGTATATAAAAGATAATGTATAATTTGATACTTTGGTTCATATATTTTTCTAATTCTCCTAAATAATTAATCTGAGGCTCCCAGAAGAATGAAAGTGAGTTATTAAATTAAAAGGTTTTTTTTGGTTTGGGGGCCAAAAAAGCCCCTAAATACTCATTGGTGCTCAGGAATCACTCCTGGTGTTGCTCAGGACACTAGGTTTTACATAGAATGTGACCTGACATATACTTTAACTAGTTGATCTTTTTCTCCCTCCAAAATTATTATTTTCATAAACATTTTAGCAAATTCCAAATGAGAGAAGGAGCAGAGTTTGTAACAATTGATTCACTCTTACATTAATTCCAACCTTTCAGGTACAGTGACTCTATAAATTTTTAAAAAAGAGTACCTGAAAATTCTGTTTGGAATAATTTCATTGCTAAAAAATAGAGCGATAACCTTAACTAGGTAAGATTAACACTAAGGGGAATAATTGTAGTAATTCTCTTACATATTGGCCTTGTGGATGGACAAAGAGTTCTGAACATACATTAAGTTAAAATTAGTTACTTGCCTAAAATGTCACATGCAAGGAGAATGGTTTGCTAGGATTGGAAAATGATGTCATTTAAAAATGTACAAGTGGGGCTGGAGCAATAGCACAGCAGGTAGGGCATTTGCCTTGCACGCGGCAGACCCAGTTTCAATTCCCAGCATCCCATATGGTCCCCTGAGCACCGCCAGGGGTATTTCCTGAGCAGAGCCAGGAGTAACCCCTGTGCATCGCCAGGTGTGACCCAAAAAGCAAAAACAAAAAATAAAAACAAAAAAAAAATGTACAAAATTTTTGTTGTTGTTACTCACAGAATTCTTCGACATTGTGCCAAGATGAGGCTTTCTTTAAGCCATAACTATCGCATATGCTGCTGGAAAACGGTACGTTGAAATTATTTCTAAAGCAAGTTGCTTGTTTGTTTTGTTTTGTTTTTGTTTTGTTTTGTTTTGTTCTTGGTTTTTGGACTTATTCCTGGTTCTGATCTATCCACTCCTGATGGTGTTTGGCAGACTCTGAGTTGTGCTTGCTGCAAGTTGTGCTTGCAAGACCCTGTACTAGCTCACCCCTGCCTTCATACTACTTTGATTTAAGTCATATAAGAAATTATTTGCAACATGATTGGTATTCAGAAAGATATCCACTTACTAGGTAAACTGCAGAATCAGACTTTTGTGTTATAAACTATATAATTTTTTTCTAAATAGAAAAGGAAAGCTAGGGGGAGTTTATTTTAATTTGAAGTTATAAGAACACAATATAAAGATAGTGCTATATTCTGCTCTGCTTTCATAACTGAAGGTGCATTCCTTAGGGGCCCACGAGAATAGCTTCGTGACTTAGAACACATGCCTTGCAAGCATTTGGCGAGTTCTGTCCCTGATACCACCACATACACATTGAGTGTTAGTTCTCCTAGCAGCTTTGCTGCTAGTGGTCCCTACCCCATAAGCAAATTTCATCCACACTAAACCATATGTGTAAGCCCCGCAGAGGAGTATGGCCCCTGGTGATCACCACAACCAAAACTTGGGAAAGAGTAAATATTTTAATGCTGCCCTGAAGGAATTGATTCTTAGACTTTGTTTTCTGTAGCTAATACTAATTTGATTGTGAGTTTCTCTGTTGGTTTTTTCGTTTCTAATACTCCTCTGGGTCATCATTTCTGAAAAAGTTAAAGCATATTTAAGAATTCTATAATATTCATCATCTGAATCAGAACCTGAAGTCACATGAATAATTTTGTTTGGAGGATAAGTTGTACAAGCAGAAGACCAGGGGCCACTCCTGGCAATACTTGTCCTGGACGTATACACTGGTTGGTTCAGTGCTGGACCCAGCATTATAGGGCTTCAGTGTGTGCCCGGCAGTGGAGGGGCGTTTGTGCCCTACAGTGTGTGCTCAGCAGTGGAGGGCTGTTGGTGCCCTTTGGTGTGTGCCTGGCAGTGGGGAGCTGTTGGTACCCTGTGGCAATTTCTTGTTCAGGCCTAATGGGGTGCTCCCAAAGCTACAACTGGTGATGTTTAGGGGCTACTAGCATTACATCTAGATGAAGTTACACGGGGAACTACTCAGTGTGGGGGATCAAACTTAGGGTCTCTTAGTTTCTTTTTTTTTTTTTTTTTTTTTTTTTATTTATTGAATCACTGTGGGAAAGGTTACAAAGCTTTCAGGTTTATGTCTCAGTCATGCAAATATCAAACACATTTCCCTTTACCAATACCCACCTTTTCCCATGAAGAACCCCAATAAAACCCCACCCCCCACCCCTCCCCGTCCCTGTGAGGCAGATGAATTCTAGTTAACACTCTATCCGCTTTGATTAGATTGTTTCAATAAAAGATTCACCACTATTATTTAGAGTTTACCCCCCCCCCCCAAATCAGACATGCTGAAAAAGCATTGTGAAGTGATTTGCTTTCTCCAGCTGGGTTCAAGAATTAAATGTTGGTTTTGGATTTCTGCTATTTTACTTATTGACCCTGGAAGTATTTCTACTGAAAGTCAGATAGTTAAGAAATTGGTTTCTGTGTTCTGGAGTCGTGGCCGTGCTGGAGAGCCGCTCGTGGGGGGCAACTGGTGGCCTCGGTAGGGCGTGAAGGGCGGAGCGAAACGCCCCCCTTCCCATGAGGTTTTAGTCGCCCCCACACTCCCGGCTCATACCTGCTGTCCACAAGGCTCCCATGTGGCCGCCATCTTTCTTTCCAGAGAGGAGAGGGCAAATGGGGCAACACCCTTTCCCCTCCGGCAGACTTGATGGGCTGGATCAACGCATAGTCCATTCACTTTTCTGCTCCAAGCTGCTGGGTTCTGCATTAAGTCCTTGTGCTTCTGGGGCCATGGCCGTGCTGGAGAGCCGCTCGTGGGGGGCAACTGGTGACCTCGGTAGGGCATGAAGGACGGACCGGAACGCCCCCCGACCCATGAGGTTTTAGTCGCCCCCACTCCCCCGGCTCATACCTGCTGTCCACAAGGCTCCCATGTGGCCGCCATCTTTCTTTCCAGAGAGGAGAGGGCGAATGGGGCAACACCCTTTCCCCTCCGGCAGACTTGATGGCCTGGATCAATGCATAGTCCGTTCACTTTTCTGCTCCAAGCTGCTGGGTTCTGCATTAAGTCCTTGTGCTTCTGGGGCCGTGGCTGTGCTGGAGAGCCGCTCGTGGGGGGCAACTGGTGACCTCGGTAGGGCGTGAAGGACGGACCGGAACGCCCCCCTTCCCATGAAGTTTTAGTCGCCCCCACACCCCCGGCTCATACCTGCTGTCCACAAGGCTCCCATGTGGCCGCCATCTTTCTTTCCAGAGGGAGGAGGGCGGAAGGGACCAACACCCTTTCCCCTCTGGGCAGAAATGATTGCCTGGATTAACGCATAGTCCTTTCACTTTTCTGCTCCAAGCTGCTGGGTTCTGCATTAAGCCCTTGTGATTCTGGGGCTGTGGCCGTGCTGGAGAGCCGCTCGTGGGGGGCAACTGGTGACCTCGGTAGGGCGTGAAGGACGGACCGGAACGCCCCCCTGCCCATGAGGTTTTAGTCGCCCCCACACCCCCGGCTCATACCTGCTGTCCACAAGGCTCCCATGTGGCCGCCATCTTTCTTTCCAGAGAGGAGAGGGCGAATGGGGCAACACCCTTTCCCCTCCGGCAGACTTGATGGCCTGGGTCAATGCATAGTCCGTTCACTTTTCTGCTCCAAGCTGCTGGGTTCTGCATTAAGTCCTTGTGCTTCTGGGGCCGTGGCTGTGCTGGAGAGCCGCTCGTGGGGGGTGACTGGTGACCTCGGTAGGGCGTGAAGGACGGACCGGAACGCCCCCCTTCCCATGAGGTTTTAGTCGCCCCCACACCCCCGGCCCATACCTGCTGTCCACAAGGCTCCCATGTGGCCGCCATCTTTCTTTCCAGAGGGAGGAGGGCGGAAGGGAGCAACACCCTTTCCCCTCTGGGCAGAAATGATTGCCTGGATTAACGCATAGTCCTTTCACTTTTCTGCTCCAAGCTGCTGGGTTCTGCATTAAGCCCTTGTGCTTCTGGGGCTGTGGCCGTGCTGGAGAGCCGCTCGTGGGGGGCAACTGGTGGCCTCGGTAGGGCGTGAAGGACAGACCGGAACGCCCCCCTTCCCATGAGGTTTTAGTCGCCCCCACACCCCCGGCTCATACCTGCTGTCCACAAGGCTCCCATGCGGCCGCCATCCTTCTTTCCAGAGAAGAGAGGGCGAATGGGGCAACACCCTTTCCCCTCCGGCAGACTTGATGGCCTGGATTAACGCATAGTCCTTTCACTTTTCTGCTCTAAGCTGCTGGGTTCTGCATTAAGTCCTTGTGTTTCTGGGGCTGTGGCCGTGCTCCAAACTTAACTCTGACTTTCAGGGAGAAAGATTGGGTGGTTTACTTCTCATTGATCACTTTGTATATAGAGAGATGTCGCGCGGCCGCATAAGCGGCCGCGCGGTTTTGAGAAAAAGTCCTCGTTCCCGCATACTCGAGCTGTGTTTGTAGAGGCTTCTGGTCACCGGGGTTCCATCTGGGGGAGGCGAGATGCGGCGCCTACCCCATCTGGAACTTGCGGGTGAACTTGGCTCTTTTTGGAACCTGTTTTTTCTTTTTTTTTTTTTTTTTTTCCTCCGGGATCCCGCACTCTCCATGTGTTCTTTCTCTTATGCTTAAGGCTTCAAAGATGGCGCTGGGGGGCGGGCTGTGGGCATGACTTCCGGAATCAGAGGTTACCTGGGAGGTGTAGTTCGGCAGATTTGAGAAAAAGTCCTCGTTCCCGCATACTCGAGCTGTGTTTGTAGAGGCTTCTGGTCACCGGGGTTCCATCTGGGGGAGGCGAGATGCGGCGCCTACCCCATCTGGAACTTGCGGGTGAACTTGGCTCTTTTTGGAACCTGTTTTTTCTTTTTTTTTTTTTTTTTTTTCCTCCGGGATCCCGCACTCTCCATGTGTTCTTTCTCTTATGCTTAAGGCTTCAAAGATGGCGCTGGGGGGCGGGCTGTGGGCATGACTTCCGGAATCAGAGGTTACCTGGGAGGTGTAGTTCGGCAGATTTGAGAAAAAGTCCTCGTTCCCGCATACTCGAGCTGTGTTTGTAGAGGCTTCTGGTCACCGGGGTTCCATCTGGGGGAGGCGAGATGCGGCGCCTACTCCATCTGGAACTTGCGGGTGAACTTGGCTCTTTTTGGAACCTGTTTTTTCTTTTTTTTTTTTTTTCCTCCGGGATCCCGCACTCTCCATGTGTTCTTTCTCTTATGCTTAAGGTTTCAAAGATGGCGCTGGGGGGCGGGCTGTGGGCATGACTTCCGGAATCAGAGGTTACCTGGGAGGTGTAGTTCGGCAGATTTGAGAAAAAGTCCTCGTTCCCGCATACTCGAGCTGTGTTTGTAGAGGCTTCTGGTCACCGGGGTTCCATCTGGGGGAGGCGAGATGCGGCGCCTACCCCATCTGGAACTTGCGGGTGAACTTGGCTCTTTTTGGAACCTGTTTTTTCTTTTTTTTTTTTTTTCCTCCGGGATCCCGCACTCTCCATGTGTTCTTTCTCTTATGCTTAAGGCTTCAAAGATGGCGCTGGGGGGCGGGCTGTGGGCATGACTTCCGGAATCAGAGGTTACCTGGGAGGTGTAGTTCGGCAGATTTGAGAAAAAGTCCTCGTTCCCGCATACTCGAGCTGTGTTTGTAGAGGCTTCTGGTCACCGGGGTTCCATCTGGGGGAGGCGAGATGCGGCGCCTACTCCATCTGGAACTTGCGGGTGAACTTGGCTCTTTTTGGAACCTGTTTTTTCTTTTTTTTTTTTTTTCCTCCGGGATCAGGGTCTCTTAGTTTCAGCCTTCTGCTACAGGATTTTGAGCTCTCTCCCTGACTCCCTACAACTTAAGTTTAATGAATGAATAAATTTACTGATATTTTTATTTGTTTGTAGGCACCTGGGATAAGTGACAGCATTGTATTGCCTTTGCTTTTGAAAGAGTCACTCATTCCTAGTGTGGGAAGAATTCTTGCATACTCTGATGACAAAGTACATGCTATGTTTTTAGATGGCACTACTCTAACCCTAAATTGGAACTTTGGCTCTTTTACTAAAGAAAAACAGGTAAGTTTAAAGCTAAAGCTTACTTTTTATTTGTTGAAAGAGTGTAATACTTTATTTTTATTGTTTTGTCTTATTTTATGGGCTGGAGCTATATCATAGCAGATAGGGCATTTGCCTTGCACGAGGCCGACCCAGGTTTGATTCTCGGCCGACCCAGGTTTGATTCTCCTCCGCCCCTCTTGGAGAGCCCGGCAAGCTGCCGAGAGCATTCTGCCCGTACGGCAAAGCCTGGCAAGCTACCTGTGACATATTCTTTAGGCCAAAAACAGTAACAGCAAGTCACAATGGAGGTGTTACTGGTGTCCACTCGAGCAAATCAATGAGCAACAGGAGGACAGTGCTACAATGCAGTGCTATCTTATTTTATATTTTGAAATGTAAAATCTGTCATATTTTACTAATAATGTCACTGGATTTCGTAGCAAAAATCAGAAGACTGTGACAAAAGTAACTCAGAGAGGGACTGATATTTTTTGTTTTTAACCTATAGAACAGGCTGGAGCGATAGCACTGCGGGTGGGCGTTTGCCTTGCACGCAGCCAACCCAGGTTTAATTCCTCCATCCCTCTCGGAGAGCCCGGCAAGCTACCGAGAGTGTCCTGCCCACATGACAGAGCCTGGCAAGCTCCCCATGGCATATTCGTTATATTAGAAAAAATAGTAACAAGTCTCATAATGGAGACGTTACTTGTGGCCGCTGGAGCAAATTAATGAACAAAGGAAGGACAGTGCTACAGTTGCAACCTATAGAAGAGTGGTAATTTAATACCATCCAAATCCATCTAAAAAATAACTGTTAGTGAAATATATTTATTTCTTTAATGAGTAAATTAGGATTTGTTTTACTCTGTTTGGTTTAATTTACATTTTATTTAGAATAATAAAATGTAACTTTCACTTTACTTCTTAAGGTAAATCAAGGTCTCAGTTTAGGTTGGTGTAAGTTAACTTTTCCTGATGGACACGATCAGTTAATTCAGATTGAACACCCTGGGCCACATGAAAGGTACTGGAAAGCAACTTTTAATGTTATTTTTGCACTAATAAAAAATTTAGTTGTCTAAAATTTAGAAAGCAAATGCTCATGTGGTCATCTATATAGAGTTTCATGATAAAATTTAGTGAACTTAATTTTTCTTTAAAAACAAAGAATTTAGACATGTGAATTTAAACTTCAAATGAAATTTGACTCTTATTCTTAAATATTACATTACTTTATTAATCATGTAGGTAATTCTTATTCTTGATGAATATATGCCTTTTCTCTTTCTAATGAGATTCAAAAACTGCTCAAGAATAAAATTACCTAATAAATGCCATTTTATTCTTTACCATTTCATTATCTTTTCTGTTTTAAATACTCCCATGGATACCATATATGTTCTTTCAACGAGTATTTCTCAATGTATTCAGATATGTGGCAACAGTAATAACATGGTGTAGAAGGTTGGCCCAGACTAGTCAGAGAGCTGTGTCTGCACATCCTTCACCTGTTCATGAAGAAAACTGGTATTTATACTTCTTTTAATCTTATTCCATACAGAAATGCAAACTAATACTCAACAACTACAATCTCAAGCAGGAAACATTTTCCCAAGAAGATGATCTAGGTTAAATATATATAATGTTTTGTTTTTGTTTTTTTGGGGATGACCCAGTGTTGCTCAGGGACTATCCCACCTCTACCCCCCAGCTCTGAGCTCAGAGGTTGCTAGGGGGATGTGTAGTGCTGGGGATCAAACCTGTGCCTTCCACATATAAAGCGTGCAGTCAGTCCAGTGGGCCATTTCTTTGTCCAATTACATAAGGGAGTTAAGGGGTGGAACCTCCCAAACTATGCTCAAGAGACATAGAAACTCTTCCCAGTGATTCTCTGGACCAGTGGTTCAGTGCTAGTACCTGAAGATACGGTGCTGCTCAGGGTCTGCAGTGCCAGGCATTTCCTGGGTCACCCTGGTGGTGCTCTGGGGGCCTAAGTGGTTCCAGGTTCCATTAGAACTGACTGTGTGCAAATCATGTACCTTGACCCCACTACTATCTGTCATACAATGTTTTTGACAGCTTTAGCTTTAAAATTGTCTTTAATCAGGTACGTAACTTATTGCAAGTTTTATCTAAAGGTCAGAAAGCCATGAAAACTTTATATCAAAAGAACTATTCTTTTTTTTTCCTTTTTTCTTAGAGTTATTTGCACAGGGCAAGACCCTGGAGATACAAAGATGATAACACAGGCTTACATTCTAATGGGAGACAAAGGTCCTATGATTCTTAGATTGGAATATGGTAATGCTATGATAGGAAATACACAGACATGGGGTGATTGTAGTATTACTTTTAAATCATGGATTTAAAAATTGTGAAGTAGCTTGTTACTTATATAGAAGCAAAATACACCAAAAAAAGTTGATTTGTAGAGATCAATTCTTCAAACTCTGGTAACTTAACTTAAGTAATACACTATATGGAATAGAAAGTTTAGAAAACAAAACCAGTTGTGTTTTTATATTTTGTACTTAGATTTTTTTTTTTCTCATTCAGACCTTTATCACTTTCTGGGGCTGGAGCGATAGTACAGCAGCTAGTGCACTTGACATGCATTTGATCTCTAGAATCCCATATGATCCCTGAAACAATGCCAGGAGTAATTCCTGAGTCCAGAGCCAGGAATAACTCTTAAGGATCGCCAGGTGTGACCCAGAAAGCCAAAAAAAACCAAAAAACACAAAAGAAGCCCCACAGTCCTCTCCCTGCCCTCCCCCTCACAAAGTTTTATCACTTTTTGTTTTTCTTGATATATGTAACAATGTACTCTTAATTATTAGCCTAGTGAAGTGCTTACTGTGGTTTAGAATTTAACAAGTGGGCTTAACCTGTTTTTAAACTACACTCTTTTGAAGGACCTGGAGCAATAGTACAGTGGGGAGGGTACTTGCCTGTGTGTGGCCAACTGGGTTCAATCCCCAGCTCCCCCATATGAATCCTTGAACTTCATTAGAAGTGAACCTTGGGTGCAGAGCCAAGAGTAATCTCTGAGCACAGCTAGATGTGGCCCTAAAACAAAAACCAAAGCAAATATTAGACCCTTCCCTTTTCTTTCCCCATCTTTTTGCATTTTTGGGGGGGGGGGGGGCGTGCATACTTGGCTGTGCTCAGAGCATATTCCTGGCCCTATGCTCAGAGTTTACTTTTTGTACCAGGGATTGAGCCCAGGATTGCACCTATATATAGGAATGTATAATTTATAAATTTTCTATCACATATCCGTAGCCCTCAAAATGGGTAATTCTTGTAATGTGATTCCTCTGTCCTGATAACTGGGAACAACCTCCAGACGGAACCAGAAATAGCCCTCTGCCCCCCCCCCCCCGCCCCAGCACTGCCAGATGTGGTCCAAAACCCCCCCCCAAATAAAATTCTTATCTTTATGAAAAAAAAATAAGTCTGTTAAATTGAAATAGTACTTACTTTTTTTTTTTAAATATATACAGGTCTGTAGCTTCTGAACTTGAAAAGATAAAGAAATTTAACTGTATCCTTTAAACAAAATATATTATCCTGCATAATAATTCCCTTTACACTTGAGGTTTAATTCATGACTGTGTTTTATTAATCCATATATATATTAAGAAGTTTTATCATATAATATTTAAGATTGTAATTTAAGGGGCTGGAGAGATAGCACAGTGGGTAGGGCGTTTGCCCTTGCATGCGACTGACCCGGGTTCGATTCCCAGCATCCCATATGGTCCCCTGAGCACCGCCAGGAGTAACTCCTCAGTGCAGAGCCAGGAGTAACCCCTGTGCATCGTTAGGTGTGACCCAAAAAGCAAAAAAAAAAAAAAGAAAAGAAAGATTGTAATTTAAGGTGTACCTTGTCTGCAGAAAGTACATCGTGAACTTTCATACTTTTTATTAAGGTTAAATTGGGCAAAGGATATAGTTAAGGTGTCCTAGGAGATTTTTCACATATATAATTACATTCTAAAGCAGTATTTCTTAAACTTTTCCTCTGTGTCACCTTTTCCAACATTGTTTCCTTCTTGTGCTCCCCTGTTCTACCAGTTGACCCCTTAGACTTGTGACATGGCCCCCCAGTTTGTAGTTTTTAACTGTCCCCCCCTTGGAATGTTTTGGGGGCCCACAGAGGGCCATTTGGACCCTGACTGAAAAATGTTGTTCCAAATTATGTCTGAGACTTATCTGGCTTTCCCCACACACAAACTTTTTTTTTTTTAAGTTCAGCCCTTTGGGCCTGAAGCGATAGTACAGCTGGTAAGGTGCTTGCCTTGCACGCAGCCAACCCAGGTTCAATTCAGCATCACATATGGTCCCCCAAGCCTGTCAGCAGTGATTCTTGAGTACAGAGCCAGCCCTGAGTTCCCCAGGTATATTCTGTGGGGGAGAGCGTTCAGCCTTACAGTAGGCCAAACAGATGCCAAGCATACTTTGTATGCAGGCCAGATTCTGGCTTCATGTGTATCCACCCTCAGCTCCACAAGGAACAGCCCTGTACCCTGCAGAGTGTTGTTCTGTGCCCCCCACCTCCAGCCCCCAAATAAAAATTTCAGCTTTGTTGTGATGTAATTAACAAAATTGTATAATATCTTTGGGGGAGGTTATTTCTTATATTTTATATTTAGTTTATAAGTTTATTCCCAGGCCTTATGTTTTTGCTTCTTCAGTTTCTTCTGTGATATCTTTTTCTTCTATACAACTTCCTTTTCACGTTTAGGAAAAATCTTCTCTTTTTCCATCAGAATCATCTCAGTGTGGCGGGGAGAACTCATGTAGGGGTTAATCTGTCCGTGGGCCCTATAAATTCTGCGACACATATCTTGGTTGCTTTGTTCACCTGGATATATCAGTGATCATCTACATCCAAACCCTTAAGTCCACCATTACTTTCTGCATTTTTAAGCGTGTGCGGTAAAAATTCGGTACTCTTTTGGGCCAACGACCCAATGTCTAACCCCATTGTTTGGCCTGGGCACACCTACCAGCGCCACCACTGTAATGCTGAAAGGGTGCACACTGCTTCTGCAGAGTGATGTCCTTCAAGTGCTTGGTGGGTTTTCAGATATGCATACCCTTGGTGGCCAGAGCTGTCTCCCAAGAGTTCTCGAAGTGAACAGAAAGGTTTGAGTCTCTGGGTTTGCATGATTTTGTCAAGTTTTCTGGATCTAGCGCATTATCTTGGGACTTAAAGATGTTCACAGAAGAAGAGCAATGGTATTGGGACAATTCTTGAGAACTAAAAAAACTGGGTGGGGACCGGGGGGAGGTTGTTTATTTGTCATCTTTTTTAACTTCAGCTATATTTAGCTATAATTGGCAAAACAAAATTGTATTTAAAGTAAGGCAGGAGAGAGAGTACAGGGGGTTATGTCCTCACCTTGCATGTGGCCAGTGTAGTTTGATCCCTGGTACCCCATATGGCTCCCCAAGCACCACCAGGAGTGATCCCTGAACACAGCCTGGTGTGGCCAAAACCCCCCTCCACAAAACACACACAAAAGGATACTTAAGTAACCCAAATGCATAGACAGTGTGAAAGGATTCTTCTGTCTCATTAATTCACTTACACAAACATACATGCCAGGTGTGGACTCCCTCTTTTTCTGAGGGGGCCACAAGTGACAATGCTCAGGACCTGGTACCAGGGTCAAACCTGGGACTCCTACATGCAATGAAGTCATCTCCCCAGCCTGCTCACAGACCCCCAATCCCCTAAGTGACAACATCTGAGTTCCACTTTCCCAGTAAACCTCATTCATATAATGCAATATTATCAACTAGAGTCAGTGTGCTATACGATAGACCCTTATTTATTTTATAGTTGATAGTTTAGACTCTGAAGCTCTATTTTTCCCATCCCCTCAGCTTTGTAACAGTCTCCTTTTAGCAGCCTGTATCTGAGTTTGGTGATTTTTCTTTTTTTACACACTTACAAGGCTAGTGCTTTTATTATTTTTTAATTATTGCACACTTGCAAGGCAAGTGTTTTATTGATCAGCTACAACTTTGACCCTTGAATTTTATTTTGTAAATCAAATCCTTCTGTACTGATTTGATTAGGGATATATTTCTCAGGAGCAAGTCTTAATGTTGAAAAATTAGATACTAGGTCCAAACCTTTCTTTTATAGGGAGAAAATGGGAGTGTGAGTTCCCTCATGACTTTATGTTGCTGTGCCAGTGGCAAAAGTTTATGACCAACTGTTTTCAGCTTTTCCTACCCATTTTTCTACCAATTGAGATATTTTCTCAATTGCATGATGTGTAAAGGGGTCACACAAGTAGTCCCTTTCAGATGGAATTCTTCCATGTACAGACGTGGGCTCAGTGTGTATGTGGGAGACTGAGGTCAGAGGCCTCCTGAAAGTCTGAAAGAATCAGACTTTCTTACGGAAACTTAACATTCCCAGTCATTTGCCCCATGTTCTTTTATCTTACGGTTTTTCTGTAATCCTATTCAAACTGTGAAGTAGCTAAGCAGCAGAGGACAGATTTCTTTTTCATTTTGGTGTAACCCCTAGCTCATTTTGTTTTGGGGTTATATCTGCCAGTGCTCAGGGGTGACTCCTGGCTCTGCGCTGGAGTCACTCCTGTAGATGATCTGGGGACCATATGGAATGCTGGGAATTGAACCTGCGTTGGCCATGTGCAAGGCAAGCGCCTTACCTACTGTACTACCTCTCAGCCTCTCATTTTTATATACAAATTTTTTTTTTTTTAAATTCCTCTTCCCTTACCTCTTTTCCTCTTGTTGCAATGACCAGGGATCACACAAGGGATTGTGGTGCTTTCTGGGGGTTCCTGCATTTGGCTGTGTGCTTGCATACTTAGTCGCAGTGCTTACTGGGAGTCTTGCTCTTTAGTTGTGCTTACACATGCTCACTGGTGGCACACTCCCACACACCTGGCATGAGAGCACTCCACATTGTATTCATCACAGTGCCAGAGATCCCAAATAGACTTCTAGAACCACACTGGCCACATGTGGGCAGCACCAGGGATCAGCTCACAGCCGTAGACTTGGAAGAGAGGCACTTTTGTTACCATCTCCAGACCCCTGCTAGATCCCTTTTTTTTTTGAGGGAGGCAGCACCCTGGCAGTGGTGCTGGAGATCTCTAGAGTCTCTGTTACCAGGCATATTGGCTCCAGCCCTTTTAACTGTCTCCCCAGCCCCCTATTAGATCTTTTCTCAATTGAAAAACAAATGATTAGGGCTGAAGCTATAGAACAATAGGTAGGGTATTTGCCTTGCACATGCCAACCCGGGTTTGCTCCCTGGCACCCCATATGGTCTCCTGTGCCTGCCAAGAGTAATCCCTGAACACTGAATCAGGAGTAAGCCCCGAGCAATGCCAGGTGTGGCCCTAAAACAGAAACAAAAACAGATTATTGTAAACAGATGATTAATTAGTAAGATTTGATTTAAAAAATATACAAAGACATATTTCTACCACCTCTGCCTTTTTTGGATAGGAGCCTCTCAAGCAGTGCTCAGGGGCCTTATGGACTACATCCAGCTATGAACCCCGTCAGTCACATGCAAGGCATCTGCTCTAACCCTGTACTATCTCCCTTGCCCCAGACTTTTAGGTCTTGCGCTTTATTTCCTATCACTAGATCTCCACCCAGACACATATATACTTTTCTTTTCCACTCTATACTGTTTCTTTGAGTTTCTAAGAATGGGAAGTTCTGAAGTCCCGGTTCTGTTCTAAATACAAGAGGTCTTCTTCCCAATGGAAAACATACTTTAATATAAAAGCGAGGTTTTCTGAAATGAAGCATACTTATGTAATGATAAATATATGTGTGGATAAAAGCTCCTTAACTAAGCAACTTAGTGTTACTGGAGAATAGTGCTGTCCTAAACCAGATTTCTAACAAGAAAAATAAGCCAACTTTTTATGATTATACACCAGAATCTTCAGAAATCTTGCTGGAAGAAAATGAAAAGAATGTGTCAATGGCGTTGAAAAAAACCTCTGATATCCTTCAGGATATTGACTGTCTTCTATCAAACTCAAAAAAGTGAAAAATGGATCACAACGGCTGCTTCTCCTGGACAGGAGCATAACAAGTGACCTCCATAACCATGCCACCGGACTCCGCGCCAGGCTGCTTTCACTTGGGGCGCCCAGAGGGACCAGCCACGGCAGCCAACCTCCACTCACTACTCAACCGCCGCCATGCTCCAGGCCACTCTTCCCAGGCTCGGACCGAGCCTCACATATGAGTGAACATATTCCTGGACTGCTTTTGAAGCCATGCGACACATCATAAGACACTCCCTACCCCTTCTCCATAATCACCACACCATATTTGATGGGGTTCAGACAGTAGGCAACAATAGTGGGAAATATATATATATATATGTATGTATATGTACATATAAATATGTATATATAGAGATGCATACGTACATATTTTCAGATATATATACCCAAACCCACATCACCCAAACTTAACATGTTAGTGATATCCTATAGAATGTCTTAATGTCTCCTGCCAAAATAGAACAATCTTCACACTATTTCCTGTATGAACACTTTTGTAAGCATGTCCAGCAGTTCTTTATAACAGAAAATACAAAATATATTCTTTCAGTTGTGTTTTGGGACAGAGATTGGGGCTTGGGATGGAAACATCCCAAATTTGGTGATGGGAAGGTGTAATGGTGGTGGGATTGGTGTTTGAATATTGAATGTAATCAAATATTGTGAACTAACTTATAAAATTAAAAAAATCATAATAAAGTAATCACTTAATCATCACTTAATCCCCGTTATTCATCGATTTATTCGAGCGGGTGCCAGTAACGTCTCCATTCATCCCGGTTGCGTGCTAGCGTAGCCCAATGGTATCTGTTCGTTCTAGGAACATGCAGAGCCTCAAACCGATCATTCAGGGTCTTGACGAAGAAGTCTGACCATCTTGTAGGTGGGCGTCCAAGTGATCTTTTGATGTCCCGTGGAATCCAGTCAGTAATGGCTCTAGTCCAGCGGTTGTCTGTAAACCTCATTACGTGTCCAGACAATCTGATTTTTGATGTCTTGGCAAATGAGACAGCGTCCCTGATTCTTGAGCGTTGACGAAGATCAGAACTCCGGATTCTATCTCTCATTTGAGTGAATCGTGATATTCCAAGCATAGTTCTTTTGATTCCTCTTTGAGAGACCCGAATAGCGTTCTCATCCTGTTTTCGTAGGGTCCAGGTCTCTGAGGCATATGTTAATGCAGGAAGAATAGTGGAATCAAAGAGATGTGCTCGTAGCTGGAGGTTCTTTGTCCTTTTAGTTATTTCTTCAATGCTCTTGAAGGCATTCCAAGCCGCTCTCTTCCTCCTGCGCAACTCAGGTGCCAGGTCACTCATCATGTTGATTTCTCGACCTAGGTATATATAACTGTTGCATTCGGAGATGGTGGTTCCGTTGAGAGCGAATGGAGCGTCAGGAACAAGGCTGTTTCTCATAAACATTGTCTTCGTAAGATTCAGCTGTAGTCCGACCTTTCCACATTCACGGTCAAAGTCGTTCAGCATTTGTGCTGCTTGGCTGATGTTTGGTGTTATTAGAACGATGTCATCAGCAAAGCGGAGGTGGTGTAGTTGCTGACCATCTATCTTCACTCCCATTCTTTCCCATTCCAGTCGTCGCATGATGTTCTCGAGGGTGGCACTGAAGAGTTTTGGTGAAATGGTACCACCCTGCCGAACCCCTCTCTTGATATGGATGATTACTTCTTTGTAGAATGGTGAGATCTTGGTAGTGAATCCGCAATAGAGCTCACGAAGGATCCTGATGTATTGAGTTTGTTTATTATAAAGTAATAAAAAGTGAAAAATGGAATGACAAGATATTCTACTAAATCTTAAGTATGTTGTTTCAAGTGACAGCTATAAAATTAGTAAGCCAGGAAAATATATATTTCTCTATAATAATTATTAGAGAAATAACATTTTTTTTTTGAATCACCGTGAGATAGTTACAAAGCTTTCATGTGTAAGCTTCAGCCATAGAACGATCGAATACCCATCTCTCCTCCAGTGTACATTTTTCACCACCACTGTCCCTGGTATCCCTACGCCATCCCAGTCCTTACCCTATCTTTATGGCAGACAATTTCCCCAATACACTCTGCTTTGGGCATTATAGTTTGCTCGAATTTTCCCACCACCATTCAAGCCTACCTGCCAGGTGCAGACGCTGGATAATTTATTTTCTGTTGCTCATTTTGAATATGATGAGCGGTCACATGGCCACTCTTGTGGCTGTGCGCTTCTGGCTTTTTTTTTTTTTTTAATTTTTATTAGTGAAAGACCATGAGGTACAGTTGTGGACTTACAAGTTTTTGTGCTTGGGTTTTGCGCTTCTGGAATTCTAAGATTGAAAATGGTTGGACATCTCTGTAGGGCGCTAATCCATTTTGGGATTCAACTGGGAGTCCTTGGACCAGGGATGTTAGTGTGCTGAGATGGTGTCCGGAGGCAGATTGTGGGCATAACAGTCTTAGTCCTGGAACCTGCCTGTCTGGGCCTTGCTTCTGGCAGCTTGTAGTTGCCAGGGCTTCATCTGGAGTGGGCAGGGAGAGCACACCTGCTCCATATGAGGTGCCAGGTGCCCTGGCTCGATATGGGGTCCAGAGAGGTCTCGGTGATGTGGTGTCTTCCGGGACTCCACTTTGGTTGTGTTTTCATGTAACCTGTAATTTTTGTTTTTTAATTTTTAGGTACCATGATTTACAATATTAATGGCAAGTTTCATGCAAAAACATTCCAAAATCATCCCCTCCACCAGAGTGTCAGCTTCCCTCCACCATGTCCCAGTGTTCCACCCCCACCCGGACCCCCCCTCTCCTACAGTGATACGCTTCCTACTAAAGACTAGTTATCAGTTTCTGTTGCCCTTGTTTTTAATTTTGTTTTTGGGTCACAGAGTTTACTTTGCAGTCATCCTGGCTCTGCATTCAGGAATCACTCCGGGCAGTGTTCAGAGGACAATTTGGGATGCTGGGGATTGAACCCAAGTGGGCCCCTGCAATGAAGCGCCCTTCCCTACTATCTCTCTACCTCCCCTATTTATTGTTTCATAATTTACTGTTACATACCACATGAGGAAATCATTCTTTATCTGTACCTCTCCATCTAACCTTACTCAGCATGATACTCTCCAGATCCATCCATGTAGCTGCAAACTAATTATTTTTGTTTTTTCTTAATGTTTAGTAGTATTCCATTATGTAAATATACAAGTTTCTTTATCCAGTGATCTGTTCTTGGATTCTTGAGCTATTTTCAGATTTGGGCTATTATGCTGTAGTGAAATACTAATCTGTAAATCTTGAAATATCAATAAAGGATTGTTTTAAACTGTTTTTCAGGTGTCTGATGAAAAAAGATCATAGTTGTGGCTTTTGTGAGACATTCACTATTAATCAAAATTACATCTGGTCATTTGCTATTCATTCTCTGAATACTTTCTAATAAAAGCACTGTAGCAGTGTCTTCCCGTTGTTCATCGATTTGCTCGAGCAGGCCCAGTAATGTCTCCATTGTGAGACCTGTTGTTATTGTTTTTGGCATATCGAATACATCACGGATAGCTTGCCAGGCTTTGCTGTGTGGGCGAGATACTCTTGGTAGCTTGCCGGGCTAAAGGAGTCAGCTTGCCAGGGCAAAGGAGTCGGGTTGGCCGATCTGGGTTCGATTCCTCCACCTCTCTCTAATAAAAGTATAGACAAAATTTATCTAAAAAAATTGCTAGACAATGCCAATAAAATGAAAGTAATACCCCCCCCCCCCCACCAAGATTGCTAGATAGGGAGGGGCTGAAGTGATAGCACAGTGGGTAGGGCGTTTGCCTTGCATGCGGCCGACTCAGGTTTGATTCCCAGCATCCCATATGGTCCCCTGAGCATTGTCAGGGGTAATTCCTGGGTGCAGAGCCAGGAGTAACCCCTGTGCATCGCCGGGTGTGACCCCCCCAAAAAATTGCTAGATAAGCCTACCTTAAGTCTATGTAGTAAGTAAAACCTGTGTGAAAAGAATTAGGCTCCATGGGGGGTATGGTGCCGCCAGCAGGTCAATCTGTACCTGTGAGGCAAGTGCATCAGCAGTCTGATGGCAACGTCAGACTTTCAGATACTCCTAAATTAGTGCTGTACCTTTGGCCACACCCCAAAAACTTGGGGCAAAGTTTACCAAGAAAGTAAACAGCCAGTAGTTAGGTATGTGGGAGACACACCCACAAACCACCTCCGGCCCAGCTATATAATTGGAGGCATGGCCTCTCTGGTTCCTGATCGAATTGCGTAATGGCCATGATCCCAGAGACTAAGAAAGGAATCTTGGAATCCAAAGGCTTTTGGCAGAAATGCGTCCTGTTCCTGCAGTAGGTTACTGGCGCTGGGCCACTCCAGGTGGAAATAGGTTTCATGCCTTGGCCTGTTCCCCATGGCGACCCAGTGACTGCCATCCTCCAGAGGCCACTGAACAGTCAGGTTTGGGCCTACAGTGATGAGAAACATGGGGACTCACCAGATGGGGGTGGAACCGACCCTTTCCTCCCCATCCCAACGAGAACCCAAGTTGCCACCTACAAACGGCCTCTCTGGCTTCTGATCAAGCTGCTTAATGGCCATGATCCCAGAGACTCAGAAACAAATCTCGAAACCCAGCGACTTTTTTGCAGAAATGCATCCGGACCACATACAAGGTGGCCGCTGACTTAGAGCTTATTGGAAAGCCAGGTATGAGCCTGCGGTGATGGGGCAACTGCAGTCTCATGGGAAGTGGGGTGGTACCGGCTTGTCCTTCACGCCCTACCGAGGTCACGAGTTGCCCCCAGGAGCGGTTCTCCGGCACGGCCATGGCTCCAGAGGCAAAAGGACTTAGTCCAGAGCCTGGCAGCTTGAGACAGAAAAGTGAATAGATCATGCGCTAAACTACTGCGCCATGCCTCCCTGGGAGGGAAAGGGTGCTGCTCCCTTCTGCCTCCCCGCCATTCCCCCCCCCCCCCCCCCCCGCAGCAAAGTGGCCGCAGCCTCAGAGCTTACTGGAAAGCCAGGTATGAGTCGGCGGTGACAGGGCAACTGCAGTCTCATGGGAAGGGAGGCGGTGCCCGCTCGTCCTTCATGCCCGAGGTCACAAGTTGCCCCCCACGAGCGGT